AACTGTGGCAAAAGAAAGCAAAAGTAGCACCAATATTAACAGACGCCTTGGGTGCAAGCCCAAAACAACTGGAGCAGGGTCATGTGATCACCTTTTGCGATCTTTTAAGACAAGCAAAATCAATGGGGAAGTCAGTTTTACTTAACAACTGGTTAAGTAAACCAGTTGTTAACACAGTTGTTAAGTGAATCAATTGCATTCTGTGGAAAGAATGGTGGTAAAATGGGGCAAAACTCAATTAACAAGTGTCTCACTTAACAACAACATTTTGGGTACAATTGTAGTCATAAGTCGAGGACTATCTGTACTTGGGGGAAGTTTGACCCTGAAATGGAGAACATCAATGTTCGCCACGATGTAAAAAAGATGTGGAGACTCTAGAAAGAGTGCAGAGAATAGCAACGAAGATGATTAGGGGACTGGAGGCTAAAACGTATAAAGAACGGTTGCAGGAACTGGGCATGTCTAGTTTAATGAGAAGAAGGAGTAGGGGAGATATGATAGCTGTGTTCTAATATCTCAGGGGTTGCCACAAAGAAGAGGGAGTCAAGCTATTCTCCAAAGCACCTGAGGGCCGGACAAGAAGCAACGGGATCCTAATCAAGGAGAGAAGCAACTTAGAACTAAGGAGAAATTTCCTGACAGTTAGAACAATGAATCAGTGGAACAACTTGCCTCCAGAAGTTGTGAATGCTCCAACACTGGAAGTTTTTAAGAAGAGGTTGGATAACCATTTGTCTGACGTGGTGTAGGGTTTCCTGCCTAAGCAGGGTTGGACTAGAAGACCTCCAAGGTCCCTTCCAACTCTGTTATTCAATTCAATTCTGTTCTATTCTAATGTTTGTTTTTCTAGAAAACAAACTAATTTCTAAGAAAATGGTGTCTTGAGGTTGTATAACCTTTTCTCTCAATCTTTCTCCCTGTTGCTGATATTAGCTTTTTTGGAACAGGGCTGAAGAAATCTCTTCTACCTCATTCAATAGGGATACCTAGAAGGGCCTATCTTACGAGAAGGAATGTTTCAAATTAATTCTGAAACACATTGGCTTAGTTATTCAGCAGAAATGAAAATAGCCTGCCACAACAAAGCAATACTTTTATATGAATGCGTAATCGATAGAACAGCCTCTCCAAAGGCCTACACATTTTAAAAAATCAGATTTTAATAGTCTACATATTTCTGGAACTGGTATAAACAATATGTAAACCTTTATTGCCCAACCAATCTTGCAATAAAGTTACATAAACAATTTTTAAGTTATGGAAACTTCACTGGGTTCACTGCAAAGCTAATTGAGCTTCCAACTGAGATGGTTATTGGGCAATTCTCCTGCCTCATTAAAAGAACTTTAAAGATATATATGATCCAGCTGATACTGTCTTCCATTTGCATTCTTTCCCTAGCTCCCCCTTGGGTCTTCAGCCTTTATTCTTAACATATAGACAGAAAAACCATTAAAAAGAGAAAACTAGAAAAGCTGTACTATGCTTTTTATCTGTGGAATTGGGAATTGTCCATCTGGAGGTACTCCGAGTGCCATTTTGCAAAAGATACCTTGCTCTGCAGATAAACCAGTGCCAAAAAAGAGCTCTTTTATACAAAAAAGTTCCAGCAATTGATATAATCATCTTAAATAATACATAGGAATATATCATTGGTCTAAGAATAATCATTCATGCACTGGGACTAGACTAGACTAGACTAGGACTGGACTGGACTGGACTGGACTGGACTGGACTAGACTAGGAATGGACCTCAGAGGTCTTCTAGTCCAGGGGTGGGCAAATGTGGCTCTTTTACAACCTGTGGACTTTTCTTATTATTATTTTTTTAAAATTTGATTTATATGCCACCCTTCTCCGGAGACTCAGGGAGGCTTACAATGCGTTAAGCAATAGCCTTCATACTTTTGTATATTTATACAAAGTCAGTTTATTGCCCCCACAAACTGGGTCCTCAATTTACCTACCTTAGAAAGGATGGAAGGCTGAGTCAACCTTGAGCCTGGGGAGATTCGAACTTACAGTAATTGCAGACAGCTGGTGTTAATCACAATGCTATCAGTCTGCTGAGCCACCAGGCCCTAGGACTTCAACTCCCAGAATTCCTGGCCAGCTTTTTGTGACTTTTTCCCCCTTTGTTAAAACGGAGGTGGGCATGGCCAGTGCGTGACACATCCAGCCTCTGGACCCCAAGTTTGACACCCCTGCCCTATACCATTTCAGACAAACAGTTGTCCAATCTCTTCTTAAAAACTCTTCTTAAAAAGCACCTGAGGGCAGGACAAGAAGCAATGGGTGGAAACTAATCAAGGAGAGAAGCAACTTAGAACTAAGGAGAAATTTCCTGACAGTTAGAACAATTAGTCAGTGGAACAACTTGCCTCCAGAAGTTGTGAATTCTTTAACAGTGGAAGTATATAAGAAGAGATTAGACAACTATTTGTCTGAAATGGTATAGGCAGTGGTGGGATTCAGCCAGTTCGGGAGAACCGGTTGTTAACTTTCTGAGCAGTTTGGTGAACTGGTTGTTGGAAGAAACCATTAGGCACAGAACCGGTTGTTAAATTACTTGAATCCCACCACTGGGTATAGGGCACTGATGGTGAACCTTTTCGGCACCGAGTGCCCAACCGGAATACATGTGTGCGCACACGCTAGAGCACCGGAAACCCGAAGACCAGCTGGCGCATGCGCACCTGCCACCTGGTGTTTGGGTTTCTGGAGTGGGTAGGGATACGACATCATCTATCTCCAGTCTACAACACAGTCCTTTCAACAGTTCCAAGAAGGCTCCACACCCATTTGTACCACTCAGGTGACCTTAAAAGGATGCAAATGACCAGCTGCCTGCAAAGAGTATAAATCCTTCCATTCCTCACCGTCCAGTCAGAGCTGAAGAAGCTTCTTGGATGAGAGCAAAACATCTTCAAAGAAAAACCAGAAAGTCCAGTTGCCCCTTGAAAAAAGTCCTTTTGGGACAATCATGACTTGGATGACTGAGAATCTCCATAGCCATTTCTTAGCGGTAGTACAGAAGTGGTTTTCCACTTCACTATTTTCCCAGTTGCAATGTATGGCTGTGAAAGTTGGACCATAAGAAAGGCTGATTGCCGAAGAATTGAGGCCTTTGAACTATGGTGCTGGAGAAGACTCCTATGAGTCCCTTGAACTGCAAGGCAATCAAACCGGTCAGTCCTAGAGGAGATCATCCCTGACTGCTCTTTAGAAGGCCAGATCCTGAAGATGAAACTCAAATACTTTGGCCACCTAATGAGAAGGAAGGACTCACTGGAGAAGAGCCTAATGCTGGGAAAGATTGAGGGCAAAAGAAGAAGGGGACGTCAGAGAACGAGGTGGCTGGATGGAGTCACTGAAGCAGTAGGCGTGAGTTTAAATGGACTCCAGAGGATGGTAGAGGACAGGAAGGCCTGGAGGAACGTTGTCCATGGGGTCGTGATAGGTTGGACACAACTTCGCAACTAACAACAACAAATTCCCAGTGTAGTTTATGACTTTGGGATTTTTCTCATAATCTCCCATACAATTACACTATGTTCCTGTTAGGGGTTCAGCAAAGGTTCCCCCTGCCATCACCAGTGAAGCTTCCTTCTAGGCTACTGTGACTCCCAGATGCCTCCTGGTCTACCTGGACGGTCAAAAGACGAAGGGGCCTGGTCTAGCTGATAGCTTAATGACAGTTTAAAAATATACAATGATGAAGAATATAAAATAATAGAACCCTTCAAATAGGGAAAGTCCTCTTTTAATTCCTAGAGGGACCAACACTAAAAACAGTAAAAGTTCTATAGGAAAGGAATCTCATTCATAAGAAAAGGTCCCAGTTAAATGTTTTCAACACCAAGTCAGGCAGGAATTTATCAAATTATGTAAAAACATGCCACCCAAAGTTAGACTTTATTATATTATCTACTGTACTGTCTAAGCCCCTTCTCTCTTTTAACAGCTTCCTTGCTAAACGGACTAACTGCAGATATTGCATCAGGAAACTCCAGATAATAAAAGGATTAAGAAGGTTTTTGCTATCTTGTAATAGATATAGAATTCATTATTGGCCAAGTGTGATTGGACACACAAGGAATTTGTCTTGGTGCCTACGCTCTCAGTGTACATAAAACAAAAGATGCGTTCATCAATTTCAATTTCAATTTAATTCAATTTATATGCCACCCCTCTCCGAAGACTCAGGGCGGCTCACAATACATTTAAAATCCTAAAATCAAGAATCATAAGGTATAATAATGATAGTCATAGGGTATAAATACGCAATCAAATCCTACTAGGAAACAATATAAATTGTAAGGATACAAGCAACCAAGTTACAGTCATACAGTCCTAAGTGGGAGGAGATAAATACAACAGATGTAATCTTGTACCAAAAAGGACACGTGTAACCAACCCAGTGTAAACTAATGTTTTGAAAGAAAACCTCATCTTTTGAGGTGACCTGTTGTCAACAACAAAGCAACGTTCTGTATCAACCTCTGAGCGAACTTTGATTCGGGGGGGAGGCGCTTGATTTGCACCTCTGTCCCAAGCGGGAAGCTCGTCTTATTTCTGCAGAAAGAAAACAGCTGAAAATTCCCCTTTTTCTTTCCCACGCCGTTTATTGTCAGAAGCCCGCTGAGGCTCCGGCGCTGCCTTCCCCTGGGAGGCTGTTCTTGCGTTACTTCCCAGCCGTAGTCTGCAACCTGGGTGATTTCCTAGTGGTCTCCCATCCAAGTAATAATAACCAAGCCTGACTAGATCGCCGAATCTCCGCCTGTCCCGAACTTTCCAGTTTCTCTGCCTCTGAGGCGCGCCCGGGGCTCCCACGCACCCCCGTGGACTCTTCGCCGCCGCCGCCGCCACCCGTGGGCTTCCTGCTACCCGGGAGATTCCCCGCCTGCGCCTCTCAGTCCGCCTCGCCTCCGACCCCGCCTCTGAAGGGGCGGCGGCACTTCCCCTTTCCTTTCGCTTTCCCTGCCTGCCGGAGCCGCCCGGGTGTGTGCCGGACCTCCGGCCGCCGGGCTTCAGTTCGTTCTTGCCGGGATGGCGGCGGCGGCGGCGGCGGCATCCCTGCCGGCTGCCCCGGTGCTGATCCACCGGCTGGCGGAGCGCCTGCTGAGGAGTCTCAGCCACTTATTGGATCGCGCACCTCCGGGCAAGGGCTGGCGGGATTTGGCGCAGCTCGCCGGGAGCCGCGGCGGAGTCCGGCTGAGGTGAGAGAGAGAGAGAGAGAGAGAGAGCTGGGCAGGGAGAAAGGGAGGGTGGATCCCCGGGAGGCGGACGGAGAGAGGGATCCCCCGAAGCTGCCCTGAAGAGAGCCCGGGATCCTTCGATGATCCTTTTCTTGGTGAGGGGAGTGCGCCGTCTGGCCGCTGGGAGGCGAAAGGAGGCGCCTCTGGATACAGGTAGTGCTCGACTTACAACGGTTCGTTTAGTGACCGTTCAAAGTTACAGTGGCCCTGAAAAACAGTGACCCAGTGTTTGTTTTTGTTTTTTTAATTTGATTTATATGCCGCCCTTCTCCGGAGACTCAGGGCGGCTTACAGTGCGTTAAGCAATAGCCTTCATCCTTTTGTATATTTATACAAAGTCAGCTTATTGCCCTCACAAACTGGGTCCTCAATTTACCTACCTTAGAAAGGATGGAAGGCTGAGTCAACCCTGAGCCTGGCAAGATTCGAACTTACTTTAATTGCAGACAGCTGGTGTTAAATTACAGTGCCTTGTCTGCAGAGTTATCCAGGCTGTTCACGCTTAACGACCATTGTGGCATCCCCACGTTATGTGTTAGGTCATGGGATCAAAATTCAGCCGCTTGGCAACCGATTCATATTTATGACGGTTGCAGTGTCCTGGGTCCCCTTTTGCGACCTTCTTCTGACAAGCAGAGTCAATGGAGAGGCTAAATTCACTTAGTAACAGTTTGACTCATTTAACGGCCCCGGCGACTCGCTTAACAGCTGTGGCGAGAAAAATGGTGAAAGGGAGCAGATGACAGATGTTTCGCTTAACGACAGAAATGTGGAGCTCTGTTGTGGCCGTAAGCCGAGGACTACCTGTATTGGATTCGCGGCTGAAGGATGGCACCTCCTGTCAAATTGAGAGGCTTCTGAAGATCCTGGGATAAAGACGAAGAGCAGCTAGACAAGACCCAGTGGAGCTCTTGCCTCCCAATCAGGAGGTTGTGAGTTCGATCCTAGATCCTGGTCCTCCGTTCCAGTCGGGCTTCAGGCCCGGGTACAGCACAGAGACGGCATTGGTCGCATTGGTTGATGATCTCTGGAGGGCTCGGGACAGGGGTTGCTCCTCTGTCCTGGTCCTATTAGACCTCTCAGCGGCTTTTGATACCATCGACTATGGTATCATGCTGCACCGGTTGGAAAGGTTGGGGGTGGGGGGCACTGTTTTACAGTGTTTCTCCTCCTTTCTCTCCGACCGGTCGCAGTCTGTGTTGACAGGGGGGCAGAGGTCGACCCCGAGGCCCCTTGTATGTGGGGTGCCGCAAGGATCGGTCCTCTCGCCCCTTCTGTTCAACATTTATGTGAAGCCGCTGGGTGAGATCATCCGTGGTTTTGGGGTGAAGTACCATCAGTACGCTGATGACACCCAGCTGTACATCCACCCCAGACCACCCCATGATGCCCTCGAGGTGATGTCCCGGTGCCTGGAAGCCGTACGGTATTGGATGGGGAGGAACAGACTCAGGCTCAACCCATCCAAGACCGAGTGGCTGTGGTTTCCGACGTCCCGATATAGTCAGTTGGCACCATCTCTGACTATTGGGGGCGAGTCGTTGGCCCCCACAGATGGGGTTCGCAACTTGGGTGTCCTCCTGGACTCGCGGCTGTCTTTAGAAGAGCATATGGCGGCCGTGGCCAGGAGGACTTTTTATCAGGTTCGCCTGATTCGCCAGTTGCGTCCCTTTCTGGATCGGGACTTGTTACGCACGGTCACTCACGCCCTTGTCACCTCACGCCTGGATTATTGCAATGCTCTCTACATGGGGCTCCCCTTGAGGAGCACCCGGAGGCTCCATTGGTCCAGAGTGTGGTGCTCCCATGTGTGACCCCCCTCCTGCGTGAGCTGCACTGGCTCCCAGTGGTCTTCCGGGTGCGCTTCAAGGTTTTGGTTACCACCTTTAGAGCGCTCCATGGCTCAGGACCAGGGTACTTACGAGACCGCCTTCTGCCACCAAGAGCCTCTCACCGACCAGTTCGCTCCCATAGAGAGGGACTCCTCAGGGTGCCGTCGGCCAAACAATGTTGACTGGCGGCCCCCAGGGGGAGAGCCTTCTCTGTGGCGGCACCTGCCATCTGGAACGAGCTCCCCCCGGAGATACGGAGGATCCAAGACTTACGCATCTTCCACCGCGCCCTAAAAACGTTTTTATTCAAAAGGCTGGTCTGGCCTAACTCTCCCTTTTAAATTGGCTTTTAAATTGGGTTTTAAATGTTTTTTAGATGTTTTTATTTGTTTTTTTTGAGCCTAAATTATTTAATCTGTATTTAATAGTTTTTAACTTTTGTATGTCTCTATTTTATTTTGGCTGTTCACCGCCCTGAGTCCTTCGGGAGTAGGGCGATATACAAATATGAAATAAATAAATAAATAAAAAATAAATAAATAAATAAATAAATAAATAGGTAGAGGCAGATGTAGGGTCTCCTGCTTAGGCAGGGGGTTGGACTAGATGACCTGCAAGATCCCTTCCAACTCTGTTAATCTGTTAGTTCTCCTCTGTGTTGTGTCTTGTCTCCTGGGTCTGGGTGGAAGGCCTCTCAGAGCTAGAAACAGAAGAGCCTGGCTCCATCTGGGTTGAGGGCTTCCTACAGAGAACTTCTATTGGTCCCAGTCAGAATGATTTCCACATTTCTGTATAGGCTTCGAGTAAATTTTGGCACTACTTCCTCTTCCTTGGTGAGAAGTCAAGGAACTGCTGTAGACGGTTTCCAAAACAGTCAACAAGTGCGGTCCAGGAAAGAGTCAATCATAGGTGCTCAGAAGACTAAGACTAGCGGTGACATGATAGCAGTATTTCAGTATTTGAGGGGCTGCCACAAAGAAGAGGGGGTCAACTTATGTTCCAAAGCACCAGAAGGCAATGGATGGAAAACTAATCAAGGAGAGAAGCAAACCTGGAATTAAGGAGAAACTTCCTAACAGTGAGGACAATTAGCCAGTGGAACAGCTTGCCTTTGGAAGTTGTAGGTATTTCATCACTGGAGGTTTTTAAGAAGAGACTGGACAGACACTTGGCTGAATTGGTAGAGGGTTTCCTGGTCAAGCAGGGGTTGGACCAGAACAGGGGTCGGCAACCTTAAACACTCAAAAGAGCCATTTGGACCAGTTTCCCACAGAAAAGAAACACCGGGAGCCACAAAAACTCTTCCTGTGCCTGACTATTTCTTGAGCGGCCACAAAACTAGCATAGGTAGTTGAATTAAACATTCTGTTTTCTTCTGAAAACTTTTCTTTTCTTGGATTTTTTCCATGGTTGGCTACCTGGGGTTGAAAAGCTCAATAAATCACATCCCAGTGGGGTCGCACATTGGCTGTTGTGATGCATATTTTGAGTACAGGGAGGCAGCAGGAGGGGTGAAAGAGCCACACATGCGGCTCAGAGCTGCAAGTTGCTGACCCCTGGACTAGAAGATCTCCAGCTTTATTCTGATTGAACTGAGACTTGCCTGTATACAAGACAGTTTGGATTACATACTGGTCAGTTTAGTTAAGATGCTGGTCTAAGAGCCAGAGATCGAGTTCTAGTTCCTTCTTATGCATGAAAGCTGGCTGGGTGATTTTGAGCCAGTCTTGCACTCTGAGTCCAGCCCACCTCACAGGGTTGTTGTTGTTGTGGGAAAAATAGGACGAGGAAGATGTATGTTCACTGCCTTGGATTACTTATAAAGTAATAAAGGCAGGATAAAAATGCAATAAATAAAAGAAGATAATCTAGCAACCTTTGCTAGAGGAACTAGTATAAGAAATTGCGCAAGCTGCAATTATCTCTATTTTGCTTAAATAGAAGGAAAAAGTCTCTCATACAGGTACTCCTTGACTTATGACCACAACTGGAAGTTAGAATTTCTATTGCTAGCAAACAAGGTGCTTGTTAAGTGAATCACACCCAATTTTATGACCTTTTTTTGGCATGGCTATTAAGTGAATCATTGCAGTTGTTAAGTGAATCATGCAGTGTTGAAGTCAATCCGGCTTCCGCCATTGATTTGCTTGTCGGAAGCTGGTTGGGAAGATCTCAGGATGCTGCAACCATCGTAAAATACATGCTGGTTGCAAAGAGCCCAGATTTTGACTTTGGGGGATGCTGCTCGGTTGCAAGTGCGAGGATCAGTCGTAAGTCAACTTTTTTCAGTGCTGTTGTGGCTTTGAACAGTTGCTAAATGTAGTTGAGGATTTCTTGCACTAAAAGTTCTTTACAACAGCACTTCAGGAGGGTTTTAAAAAGAAGCTAGGCAGCCGTCTCTCAGGGATGGTTTCAATGTTTGGAAAGGTTTTATAGAGGGTCAGACTAGATCAGGGGTGTCAAACTCAATTTCATTGAGGGCTTCATCAGGGATGTGTTTGACCTGGGGGGAGGACCTGGGGGGGCGTGACCAGGATGGGTGTGGTCAGCTCAATGTCACATGTGTTGGGGGCACCTGTGGTAGCCCGGACAGGGCTAGGGGGATCCATTGTCTCCAGTGGAGGAACTAGGAACTAGCGCCAAACTCTTGTCTTCCAGAGGAGAAATGGCTCGTTAATACAATTATGTAAAAGTAAAAAGTTGAGTTTGATTGAGTGTAATGTATTCTACTGCACCAAAGGGAGTCGGAAGTCAATGCCTTTTTTTGTTTTTCCCCTTTATCTTATGATTCATGATGAATGTATTTATAGAGGACTATGATCATGATTTATTCACTTATATCTTTTATTAACTGAGAGCTTATGCACCGAACAGAAATTCCTTCCTTCTGTGTCCAATCACATAATATTCTATTCTATTCTATTCTATTCTATTCTATTCTATTCTATTCTATTCTATTCTATTCTATTCTATTCTATTCTATTCTATTCTTTCCTTCACTTTTTCCCTTCCCCTTTCCCTTCCCTATTTTCCCTACTATTTACTTTTGTATTTTCTTTGTAGGCTATATTATAAACGAATAAAAACTATTTTTTAAAAAGGTATCCATATACAGCGGTGATGGCTAGCCTTTTTATCGTTGAGTGCCGAAAGCGTGAGTGCACGATAGCGCGCTCATGCGCCCACATCTATAGTGCAATGCATGCGTGATCTCCCCTGCGTGCCTCGCCATCGCACATGCACACACGATGCCCCCCGCGTATGCCCGCGTGACCTCCTGCATGCACCCCGCTCCCCCCCTCAACCATTTTTTGCTTCCAGGTTGGTGCAAGGGGCGCCCCATTTTGGGCCTGAAAGGCCTCCTGCACCAGCCTAGAAGCAAAAACGGGGCGCGGGGGCACCGTGCAAGGCCCCCAAATGCAATGCGAGTGCCCCCCCATGCATGCACCCCGCCCCCCACGCATGCATATGCGCATCCGCCACATACACCCTCCCCCCCCGCATGCTCAGCAGAGACCCAACATCCAGCTGGCCGGCGGGAGGCGCGCGCATATGTGTGGTGGAGCTGGGCTGGAGCGACAGCTGGCGTGCCCGCAGAGCGGGTTCTGCGTGCCACCTGTGGCACACGTGCCATAGGTTCGCCATCATGGATATATGGTATCACAACTGGTGCAATTAGCAGCTGCCAGGTGACTGAGGGTGCAAGATGTAGAAATTGTTTATTTTTTATATTGGAAATTTCTACACTCTGGCTGATATCAAGCCCAAGAACAATGTGTTGGGTTAATTCTGAGTAGTTACTTTATTATTGTTTGCCTAAAGACCAAAATAATCTAAGATCATCTTCCAGTGAGATTCCTAGAGATCAGTTGGAGCACATGGCTATTGTTGAAAGAGTTTTTCAAGTGACAGCCTTAAAAACTCTCTATATATTTAAGCCACCATTTAGCTATTGCTTCTGGTTTTACTCTGTGTTTGCTTTTATTGATGTGTTCTCACACTCATTGATGATATAGTATTACACTTACACTCTGTTCTCTATTGCCCAGAGATTCTTATAGAATAGAATAGAATAGAATAGAATAGAATAGAATAGAATAGAATAGAATAGAATAGAACAGAACAGAACAGAACAGAACAGAACAGAATAGAATTTTTATTGGCCAAGTGTGATTGGACACACAAGGAATTTGTCTTGGTGCATATGCTCTCAGTGTACATAAAATAAAAGATTATCTGTTGAAATGCAATGAGCGAAATCATCCACTTGAGGATTCTCAAATTTTGCACCTACTTCCTAAATCAACATGCCTGTGTGAGCTAATGGGGGCTTTTTAAGAAGGTTTGATCTGTGTTTTCCTGGTGCTTTTTTTCTAGCCTCCCTTAGATCATTGCAGGAAGTCTTGGCCTAGCACTGTTTTTCATCAATTGGAGGAGTTAATTGGGTTGGGCAAGGAGAGGAGAAGGCAACTCCCTACAGATCTTCATTCTGTTGACTATTATGTAAGGCCAACTTGCTCTTTCTTGTCTATGGTATTCTTTCTGGGTGCTAAAGTTGCAATTTTACTCCAGACCAGTCTTTTCTCAAACTTAAGTAACTTTAAGATGTGTGGAGTTCTACTTCTAGAATTCCCCAGCCAGAATTCTGGGAGTTGAAGTCCACACATCTTATAATTACCACTCTGAGAAACACTGATCTAGATCTCACACATAATTAACTGTATGTACAGAAAGACGTATTATTGCTATTGTTATTTGTTGTCATTCTTTGCAGTTCTCTTGAGTTGGAGCATTGTTCTCTGCAAGTTCTGGCTCCTGAAGGAAGTCCCAGCTGGAGTCTCCTTCAGCTAATGGGTGAAAGAGGCTGTACCGTTTCGGAGTTGACAGAATTGTTGCAGTCCTTGCAACACACCGAGGCACTTCAGTTGCTCAATCCAAGTGAGTTTTAAGTTCTCAGCCTAGGCCACCTCTTAATAATCACGTTACTACAAGTTGCATCTTGGATTTAAAACATGCAATTATATTGGCTTCCATCTAATAACTAAGCGAATCCAAAAGACTTTGCAGTCTGTCAGGGAAGGAAGGAAAGATGACAACCTTTCTGTGACTTGGACAGGCAGTGGTCAACTTATGACCAGTCACTTAGGAACAAGTCAGAGTTACAATGGACCCCCAAAAAAAGGATTCATGATGTTTATTCGAAGTTCTGACATGGAACTACCCATCTCCTACAGTCACATGATTTTTCTGACCTAGGCTTCCTTAGAAATTAAACTGCACAAACTTAGTCCCGGCAAACCTCTTTAATTCATATGGCTGTAAACTACTTTCATTTACAGTCCACAAGGCTTGATAAACAGTCTTGCAGAGGAAGATTATCAACACCCACCTATCTCACGTGGAACGCTGCCAAAGAGCTAATTTCCAGACGCAGGGCAGGGCCAAGCTTGGCACAGAGTCACAAACAGAATTTTCAAATCTGGAATCAGATAGATGAACTAATTGCTTCCTGTAAAAGCTCACGTCCCGTTCGCTTCTCTTTTATGTCTTATGGGAGGGGCCAATCATCTCCAAGCCTTACTCCCAAGTCGACCCTGTTTCCTTAATTGTTCCTGTCTCCTGGCAGCTCTGCGCATGCGCACAATGGGAACAGGCTCACGCTGTTCTTCTGCCTCACTGATGTCAGACTCCAGAGACTCCGGAGGCAGCAAAGAACTACCAGATGGCCTTGGCCCCCTCTCTGCCTCCGACTCAGAGCCATCATCCGAGCCTTCCCCAGTCTCCAGGAATGGCCCACGTTCCTCCCCAACCTCCTCACTGTCCAAATCTGCTGCCAACTCTGTTGGCTGCTGGTGGGCCACAACACTGACTGCATTTTGGACACTCGGCAACCAAACCACCTTTACAGCTGTTTGAAGCATCCTGCAGTCACATGACCATGTTTATTTTTTCCTGAAACCAGCGTTTATTTCCACTTTCCAGAAAAAAATGTCCCTTGGCAAACAGTGGGTTCGCCTTAACTACCTCTGCATTTGATTTACGACTTCCACAATAAAGGTGGTAAAAGGGAGCACACCGTCATGACTTACTTTATGATCATCACGAGTTGTGACCGAAATTGAAGGTTCAATTACGGTTGTAAGTTGAGGACTACCTGTACATCTTCCAGTTTAGTGTACATCTATTTAAGCCCTGCCTCCCTGTTAGAAAGAGTCTTCGGGATTCTGCCAGTGAAGAGTCAAATTGCTTTTTGTGAATTAAACGTCACACTCATATGACATGATAATCCACAGTGAATCTACAGACAAGTGATTCATTTATAAGTTGCTTAATAAAATCGATTCTTTTTTTGCATGGATTGAAAAAAAAAAAAGTTACTTTTTTATAATGCTCAATAATGGAGCACCTGCTTTGTCCCAAAGTCAATTTCCAAATGATATAAATATTGTTCAAAAGAATGTAAACGTCAACAAATTCTGCATCTTATTTCATAGTTGAGTAGATGCATATAGTAACTTCCTTTCCAAATGTAACAATTATAGAACACTATATGAACATATGCTTAAATGAAACATTAATCTCATTGCATCTCAAACAATAGGATGCCTTTTCCATATAAATGCAGTGGAGTCTAATAAGTCTAATGAAATATTATTTTTGTTGAATAAGGTGTTATCTAAGATACCTGGAATTTTTGATATTGATGTTAACACCACTTCCATTGTTGCTTAATTATCTTTTCTAGGATTTTCCCAGCTATTGATGTTAAAATGTACTTTCCTGGATCCACTTTTTCCCCTTCTTGAATGACTGGAATGACATCAATTCTTTTCCAGTTTGGCAGTTCCCCTCTGCTCCAGGATCTCTGAAATATTTTGTTCAGTGGTTCTGAGATCACATCTTCCAGCTCTTACAGATTTCCTTAGCCCTTTACTATTATATTGTATTTTCAATTTGTCCTGTATGCTGTCTTGAGGATTTTTTTTAAATGATTAGACAGTCTTACAAACCCAACACACAAATATGCAAGCAAGCAAACTTCAGTGTGTTTATATAATTAGCTTCCTTTTTGTTAAATGTAGATTGATCTTATCTTTTTCATAGGTATAAAGATCATGGTAGAACCAGAATCCCAAGTTGTTTTATCTGGCCAGATGGTGAAACTAAGCTGCTGGGCAACAGGATATCCTCTCCTATATTATCAGTGGTTTAAAGAGAAAAAAATGGTAAATAAATATACTAGAATGTAAGTGGTAGCTTCTAAAATGTAGAAAATTTTGGACTGTATTGAATGCAGTGTTCTTTTTCTAATGTTTTTATTAAAACTTTTCAGGACAATAAAAGTATTGAAAGTATATAAAATTAAATATAAAAGGAAAGGAAAAAAAGAAGACATGGAAAATAAAAAAAGAAGCAAGCATAGAATTGTGACTTTTAACTGTCTTTTCATCAAGTATTTGCCATTTTAATTTTCCCCTCCCTCTTTAAGCCTTTTTCATTCCCATCACATAAATCATCAATTCAGTCTTTTTTTTCATTGAACAAAAGGTCCATATAAGGTTTCCAATCTCATATTGAATATAATTTTCATTCATCTTTTCCTTACAACATAAGGCTTTTGGGGATGTTAGGCTCCTATGTATTCTATGTAAAGATAATCCTTGATTTACGAAATTCCTAAGCACACTAGAGCTAGAGTGTCAAATTGGATTTCTTTGAGGGCCAAATCAGCATTGTAGTTCTCTTCTGTGGGCCGGGGCGGTGGGGAGAAGGGACGGACACCTCCTGCAACACCCTGCTGGCTGAAAATGAGCCATGGAGGGGGGGCTCATGCAACCCCCCTGTGGCCCATTTTTGGCCTCCACGGCCTCCTGCAGCACGGTGTCACCTGAAAATGGACCACGGGGGTGGGCGGCCTCACGCAGCCTGTTTTGGCTTGCAGAGGCACCACGGGCTGATTCTTTGATATTTCTAGGCCGGCTCCGCGGGCTGGATCTAAGCACCCCATGGGCCGGATCCGGCCCGCAGGGCTTGAGTTTGACACCCTGTGCTAGAGGGACAGATTTCAAATCAGCATTCTTGTGATTGTTCTCCCTCCTGGTGGGGCAGGAGAGGGTCTGGTCCTGCCTGGTATGGTGGGGTCTATGACAACTCACTATGGACAACTCACCACAGCCGACTTGCCTCGGCCATCTCACTGCGGCCAACTCGCCATGGGACAATTCAATGCAGCATAATTCAAGAGAGAGACAAGTAGAATTGCAGCGGGCCTAGTCTTGTGTCAGGTTTGAACCTTCTCAAGTTAGACATCCTCAAAGCTGGGGAGAGCTGCAATTCTACTTGTCCCTGTCTTGAGTTATCTCGTGTTGAATTGTCCTGCAGCGATTTGGCTGCAGCAAGTTGGCCATGGTGACTTGGCCATGGTGACTTGGCTATGGACAGTTGTCCCATTCTGGGTGTGGTGGGAGCAGGGGTGGGTTCTACTTACCTTTACTACCGGTTTGCAACGGGGCCACGTGTGGGTGCTCGCTTTGCTCGTGCACACGCACACTCTTCTGCGCATGCGCAGAAGCGTTCTGATGACGTTGGGGTAGGTGGGCGGAGCCTCGCGCCGGTTTTACTACCGGTTCTATAGAACTGGTGCAAACCGGGGGCAACCCACCACTGGATGGGAAGCTTGGTCTCTCTCTCTCTCTCTCTCATCCAGGCCCTCTCTACAATGGTCCACTTAACGATCACAACTGGGATAGCCTGGATTGCATTTTTTGAGCAAAGCAGTCACACGGCATCTTGCTTAATGACTGCTTCACTCAATGGCTGAGATTTCAGGCTCAGTTGTGGTTGTAAGTAGAGGACTACCTGTATCTTATTTATTATTTGGGCAAGATAGATGGCAACAAATTTAATGAATAAGAATTTTTTTTAAAAAAATGTTTTTATTCTATTTATGCTGTTTATCCCACCTCTCTTTTGTGAGCTGAGTGTGACATGCTGTATGCAGAAGTGTTTCCAGATTTTATCTTCGTGACCACATCTCAATTGTGCACTGGGCAGAATTGTAACTTGAGAAAAACATCTCAGGCAAGCTTCCCTAGGTGTCATGAGGATAAAGGGAGGGAGGATGAAAGCCTATTAAGACCTGAAAGATTCTGCTACAGGTAGTCCTCAATTTACAACAGTTCATTTAGTGACCATTCAAAGTTACAAAGGCTGTGAAAAAAAGTGACTTATGGCCATTTTTCAGTTACAACCTTTTCAGCAACCCCATGATCATGTGATCAAAATTCAGATGATTGGCATCTGATTCATATTTATGACTTTTGCTGTGTCCCAGGGTCATGTGATCCCTTTTGCGACCTTCTGATGAGCAAAGTCAACGGGGAAGCCCGAGTCACTTAACAACTGGGTTACTAACTTATCAACTGCAGTGATTCACTTAACAACTCAGGCAAGAAGGTTGGAAAATGGGGCAAAATTCACTTAACAAATGCCTCACTTAACAACAGAAATTTTGTGCGCAATTGCAATTGTAAGTTGAGGTCTACCTGTAGTATATTTACATCAATAAAAGTAATATAAAACTGCATGACTTTAGCCTCCTAGTCTCAGGGGTGAAATCCAGCAGGTTCTGACAGGTTCTGGAGAACCGGTAGCGGAAATTTTGAGTAGTTTGGAGAACTGGCAAATACCATCTCTGGCTGGCCCCAGAGTGGAGTGGGAATGGAGATTTTGCAATATCCTTCCCCCAGGAGGGGAGGGAATGGAGATTTTGCAGTATCCTTCCCCTGGAGTGGGAATGGAGATTTTGCAATATCCTTCCCCTGCCACACCCACCAAGCCACGCCCACAGAACCGGTAGGGAAAAAATTTGGATTTCACCCCTGCCTAGTCTGGTCTATATTTGAGGGGTTTATTTTATTTAAACCAGTTTATTCAGCCATCTATCTCACACAAGTTGTGAAGGATTAACATCATGATACTATACTGGCCACAGGCCTATTACAAAATAGTTCCCAAGTTCTTATTTTTAAGTTATTTTGAAAACTTAAGTGGGATAAAATGTATGGTAAAATAACCCCATTTCTTCAAGCCAACATACCATTTTTTCAGTGCCCATGATTTTTAAAAGAAACATGTTTTTCATATTTGAGGAATAGTAATTTCACAGGGAAAATCAGTATATTGCAGGGATCTTGGCAGCACTCATAAAAATGTTGAATGGGTGTTTATAGTATGCAACTAAAATACGAATTTAACTGGTTTCTTTTTGGACAAAACATTTCTATGACATTAAGCAGCGTTGAATAAGGACCTGTGGATATTAAATTATTCCATTACTGGTAAACACTTGCATTTGGCAGAACTTGAAATTTCACTATTGTTGAAGTTTAAGTACTCTTCGTGTAATATTTTGATTTTATTTTAACCTGGGTCTATATAGTATGAAATTTTCCCATTCTCAAAAGTACACTTCACATCTAACATAGGTATTTATTTAATTAATTGAATTAACATTATGATGTGTGCATGGAAATATATTATTATATTAAGTTCTAAGTATGCAATCTTTATAGGCAGTTCTCGACCTGCAACTAATCAAAGTTCCCACAGGCCTACCTGAGTGGCACATTGGAACTCAGATTTGAAGTTCCAATGATCAGCTCCCTCCCCATGGTCACATGACCTCACTTTGGGGGCTTGGAAATGGGCTGAGTTTATGGCTGTTTGCAGTGTCCCATGGTCACGTCAAGTCTGGCTTTTTCTGCAGAGTATTTTGTGACCATACTTATTTATTTATTTATTATTTATGTATTAGTTCGATTTATATATGCCGCCCTTCTCCGGAGACTCAGGGTGCCTTCAATGCATTAAGCAATAGCCTTCATACTTTTGTATATACCTGCTTAGTAGGGCTTTTTGGCCCCCCTGAGTGGTGTTCCATTTTATATAAAATCAGCTTATTGCCCCCACAAACCGGATCCTCATTTTACCTACCTCGAAAGGATGGAAGGCTGAGTCAACCTTGAGCCTGGTGAGAATTGAACTCGCAGTAATTGCAGGCAGCTGGCAGCTAAGTACTACTTTAACAGCAGCAGTTTAGTCCACTGCGCCACCAAGGCTCTTATACTTGTTGATCTATTCTATGTCTTTTGGTGTATAACTGGTTTTGTGGATTTTAGCAGTCTTACTGTTATTTGCTTGATTTCTCTTGCCTTGCATTGCCTTACAAATTATTCATGCTTTGTAAACTGCCTAGAGTTACGGTTGTGACTTTGTAAACTGCCTAAAGTTACTGTTGTAACTGTTGTAAGGTAGATGAATGAATGAATGAATGAATGAATGAATGAATGAATGAATGAATGAATGAGTCGATCAATGATTCAATCAGTCGGTCAATCAGTCAGTCAATTAATGAATCAGTCAATGAAAAGTCAACACATTAGATCTCAATAATGCCTTAGAAGCTCCTCTTTGTGTCTTAGTTTTGGTCCTGAATTGGAGAGACTAACTCCCTGCTCATCTACAAATTTATCAGGCAACCTTTACTTTGCCTTCCATTTTAATCCATTTTAACAATATTGTTGTGTTGATAATATTTATGCTGAGTGTCTTTCAGAATGAAAATTATTAGATAACATAATATAATTGTTAGATAAGGTGGAACAAGAGTAAATTGGATTGAGACGGGTGGTATAGAAATTGAATCAATCAATCAATCAAATTTTAAAATCTTGAGGACTTGAGATTTCATTTTTCGTAGTTAATCTGTTTCAAACAGGGAATGAATAGTCCTGAACTCCAGACTGATCTTTGCTGAAACTCTATTCTATTGGTTTAAAATAATGCTCAACATAGAACAATGGCTGAGTTCGCCAATCAACCTATGTTTGTTTGTTTGTTTGTTTGTCATATTTCTATGCCGCCCACTCTCCGAGGACTCTGGGCGGCTTACACCAAAGACAGTATACTAAATAGCATATTGCCCCCAACAATCTGGGTCCTCATTTTACCCACCTCAGAAGGATGGAAGGCTGAGTCAACCTTGAGCCGGTGAGATTTGATCTGCTGATCTGCTGAACTAGCAGTCAGCTGAAGTAGCTGCAGTACTGCACTCTAACCACTGCGCCACCTCGGCTCTAGTTTAAACCAACAATCAGCAAAACCAGCTTTTGTGTGTAATATAGGTAAATACTATTGTATTATACCTTCCAAAATCTTCCCTATTGTGGCAATGTGTGCAATGTGTTTTTGTTGTATCCTAATTCAGGTCCCATATGGGAATTCCCCAGAATTGATATTCAATCAAGTAACTGCAGAAGATGCGGGATTATACATATGTCGAGTGAACAGCGATTCTTCCTATGAATTCAGCCAATGGGCACAGCTGGATGTTTGTGATAGCCAAAGAGATGCTGATGGTGGGTTACAAACTTTTTACATGGTAGAAACGGCAAGAAGGTGTAAATAGGAGGCGTACTGATTTTCTACTTTCATTTTAATGTAACAATAATGTTTTTAGATTTCTGCAGTTCTTTCTCTTGGCATAGGGATGGTTGTGATTGATTACGAAGTCATAGAATCTCTGATTATGGAATTTTCCCAGGGGTGAAATGCTCCCGGTTTGGACCGGATTGCCCGATCAAGTAGCGATGGCGGCGGGTGGTTCGGAGAACCGGTAGCGAAAATCCCTGCCCCCCCCCCCCATGCCCCCCTGAGGCCCCACGATCATCAGAGGCTTTTTTTTTTCTTTTAAAAGCATTTTTTCTTCAACCTCTTCTGAAGAAAAAATGATTTTAAAAGTAAAAAAAAAAAGCTTCTTGGCCGAAGAGGTGGTTAAAAAAATGCTTTGAAAAGTCTCTGGCAACTCCCAGCTGAGTTGCCTGAGTGGCAGAGGCTTTTCAAAGCATTAGAAAAAATGCTTTGAAAAGTTTTTTTAAAAAAAGTTGGCCACGCCCACCCGGTCACATTAACCCACCACCACTACCAAGCCACACCCATAGAACTGGTAGTAACAAATTTTACGTTTCACCCCTGAATTTTCTCCTTTCTCTATGGCTGAAGTTTCAGGAAACAAAATTCTTACATCTCTTGTCAGATTAGGTTATAACCACAATAGATTCCTGAAAACTTTTAATGTGTCCATGCTGGTATATTTGACCACAACAGCAGAGTTAAAAGCATCTGTGATCTGTCCTGGAGATAATGCTTTACAGCTTTTATGTACTTTTAGCGAGGGCACAAGTTCATGAAAGTTTAAAGACTTGCTAAAGGCTAAAATGTATTATTTCTCAGTATTTACCTGGAAAATTTTCATTGCTTGTTTCTTAGTGACTTTTAAAAAGTATTTCTAGATTACATTTTAATCAGAAGTATCTTAACACAGTATAAGCCTTCACAGTAAAACAATTGAGTTAACGATGGGTGTAACTTTCTGAAAAACACATGTTTTAGATCATATATTAAAAACCACTTAATGCTGAATGAATCAGGAAAGTCTTTATCTCTCACTGGAAACTGAGTAACAAATCGCTTCTCTGATCCCTCAAGAAAGCATTTAAATCCATTTAAAGCTTTGTTGATAAGATTTACATCCTGAATTGAGCTCAATAACACTTGGAGCCACTCCAAAAGATGTAAGGTTGAGGTATGTTTATTGCTTTCCAGTAAAAGAGAATATTTGTAGCCCAGAATTGAACCGGGGAGTCCCTGGCACTCCCTGAGCTTGCTTGTTTGCTTGTAGGTAGGTAACTTCTTACCTAGAAAATGATAGATAGCTACCACTTCGGTGGGACATGAAAGGAGCCTCCTATTGGACATTCCCTGGGCAATGATGATGTCACCAGCTAATCCCTTCAACCCGGAAGTGATATAACTAGTACCATGTTTCCCCGAAAATAAGACCCTGTCAACATAAAATACATCTTTTCAGAATGAAGCTTTGATCCGGTCATAGATTTGTACAATTACTAACACCTTTTTAAAAGAAATTTTTTCACAACACCACAAATTACCACCTTATAAAATATAAAGAAAAATAAAATTAAAAATTAAAAAAAAGGTTTAGTTAAATGTATTCAAACATTCAAATCATTACAATTGTTATCAATGTTTAAACAATATTTTAACTATTACTCCTATATTACTGTTACTGTTACTATTACTGTCTTACATTTTTTGAAGCCCAAAATAAGCGCTTGGTCTTATTTTTGGGGAGGTCTTATTATTTTGGGGCGTGTGGAGCAAGATGGGGCTCCTCTTGCCATCTTATCTGATTTCCAGCTCTATGTTTAAATATTTTCAGGGAGGGCTTATTTAGAGGGGGAGGCTTATTTTAGAGCATGCGCTCAAAAGCCCAATTGGGTTTATTATTAGGGGATGTCTTATTTTCGGGGAAACAGGGTAGTAGTAGCAAATGTGGCAGTCATAAAGTGAATGTAGTTTTTTTAAGCAAAGCCATTGTTCACTCTAGGGTGATTTTTTGCCAGAAACTGGAAGTAAATGCCAGTTTCTGGCAAAAACACCATAAATCGAGGTACCGAAAATGGCTGTGAATGTGGGCTGCATCCAAAATGCAGTCATGTGACCAGGGGGGACAGACATCCAAATCTCGAAACCAGGTTGTAAGTATTTTTGAGGGGTGTGTAGAAACTTTGAATCGTCATTAAACAACCATTGTAATTTGAGAACGATCTGCAGCACCTTTTTAAATTTAGTATTTTGAATTTACTCTCTAAAGCAGGCTCAGGAATTCTGGGAGTCGAAGTCCACAGGTCATAAAGGGATCATCGTCCCCCACCCCTGCTCCAAAGCAGGGATGTCAAACTCAAGGCCTGCGGACTGCATCCAGCTCGCGGGATGCTTAGATCTGGCCTGCGGGCCCATTCTGGAAACAGCGAAGGACTGGCCCGTGGTGCCTCTGCACAGCCTTCCTGAGCTCTGTTTTCGCCAGCAGAGCACTGCAGGAGGCCGTTGCAGCCGAAAACGGAGCTTGGGAGGGCCATGTGTGATCCTCGGCACCTTGGCCATGCCACCCCCCACCTGCCCAAGGTCAAACACAACCCTGATGTGGCCCTCAATGAAATTGAGTTTGACACCCTTGCTCTAAAGGTACAAGTGCACGCCGTTTATTGTTTTCTTCTCAAAACCATCCACTTCCTTTAAATTAGCTGCAGCAAATAAATGAGGAAGTCACTGGGGAGGACCCAGTTGTCGGCGAAGAAATTATCGTTCTTTGCTGACTTGCTTCTGCTCTGCAAATCTGGCCTATCTCTGTTGCTTTGCGGACAAGATTTTTATCTCACAAATGTTTAAACCTCTTCCATTTAAGGAAGCTACTTCGAGTTGCCTGAAAAGAAAATACACATCTACCTGCATCCGCAATCTCAGAACTTGATGGTTGGACAAATGTTAATTCTTCAGTGTGAAGCCACGGGAAATCCCACGCCACAGTACCAGTGGTACAAAGAAGAATCCCCACTTCCTAATGGAGAGAAAAAGGCTTATGTGGTGAGGCTTTTTTTCCCCCCTCTCAGCTACACTGATAAGGAATTGATGACATGTTTTATATTCAAAGCCTCCTTGAAGTAAACTCTTCAAGAGTAACTCTGAAATTCAGTAAATAAAATAACATGTTCATTAACCCCCTAACGTTTTGCCATTTGCATGCTGATAATAGGTGCATGGTTCTCTGTGGAATATTGCACTCTGAAGTGAGTTTAATTGCTTGTATCCTATATCCCAAAGTATTTACTGGCTGAGAGGCTAAACCCAAGGCTTTTAATTATTTAGCATGACTGCAAAGTCGACGCAAGACTATGCATGAGCCTTAACGCAATGACCTCCATTAAGTTAGTATTGGTTTTATGAAATGCTTGGAATGGAATAGAATGGAATGGAATGGAATGGAATGGAATAGAATAAAGTAGAATAGAATAGAATGGAATGGAATGGAATGGAATGGAATGGAATGGAATAGAATAGAATAGAATAGAATAGAATAGAATAGAATAGAATAGAATAGAATAGAACAGAACAGAACAGAACAGAACAGAACAGAACAGAATAATGCTGCAGAATTTGGTAGATTTCCCAGTTATAAAAGGTCCTTTGTGCTCTCTGAGCACAATTACAATTACTATTACAATACAATACAATACAATAATACAATACAACACAATACAATACAATGCAATGCAATGCAATGAAATACAATACAATACAATTCTTTATTGGCCAAGTGAGATTAGACACCCAAGGAATTTATCTCTGGTGCATAAACTCACAGTGTATATATAAACAACAAGTAATAGGTCATAGTCATAGTTACAATAATTAATCATAAGTTACAAACAATAATTGAATACTATTATTCTTGGGCATTAATGTTGAGTGTAGAAAGTTATTACAAGTAGTCCTTGACTTACTACAGTTTGTTTAGTGACCGTTCGAAGTTAAAACGCCATTGAAAAAAGTGACTTAAGACCGTTTTTCACACTTACGACTATTGCAGCATCCCCATGGTCATGTGATTAAAATTCAGACACTTGGCAACTGGTTCATATTTATGACAAGGGTCACATGTCCCAGGATCATGTGATCACCTTTTATGACTTTCTGATAAGCTAAGAGAATGGGGAAACCAGATTCACTTAACAACATGTTACTAATGCTGCAGTGACTCACTTAACAACTGTGACAAGAAAGGTCATAAAACAGGGCAAAATTCACTTAACAAATGTCTCACTTAGTAATAGAAATGTTGGGCTCAATTGTGGTCGTAAATCAAGGACTACCTGTATTTTCCCTTAAATTTGTATAACACAGAGAGCACCTTTTTTCTTTTGTGGGAAGACAGTTCAAGAAAGATGGAATCAAAGTTTGGAAAGATTTGAATATATTTAACATAGTGTAAATATTAGAAGGAAAAATAGACACCAGCAATCTCTATTACGATATATAGATAGTCCTCAACTTACAGCCATTCATTTAGTGACCGTTTGAATTATAAGAGCACTAAAAAAAGTGACTTATGACTGTTTTTCCACACAATCATTGCAGCATCCCCGTGGTCAGAATTTGAACACATGGCCAGTTACCATGTTCTGGGGTCATGTGATCACCTTTTGTAACCTTCTGATAAGGAAAGTCAATGGGGAAGCCAGATTCCTTTAACAACGGTGTTACTAACTTAACAACTGCAGTGATTCACTTAACAACTGTGGTAAAAAAGATTTTTAAATGCGGCACAATTCACTTAACAACTGTCTATTGTTATCAATAGACATTTTGCATTCAATTTGGTTATATGTCGAGGACTAACCGTAAGCACATTTTTTCTCTCTCTCTGAGGAAGGATTTTTTTAAATGAGTCTTTGTCTGCAATTTGAAAGGTTTCTCTTCTCAGTGAATTAGGCTACAGAATTTGTAGCTTCAGATTCAGGTTGCCAGAATGCAAACGTTATTGAAATGTATTCGATAGTATTGCTGTAATAAAAAGAATGAACTTTGGTGACTGCCCTTACTAGAAAATGTGTGGTACTCTTGAAGGTATCCTGCGTAGACATTGAACATCAAGGAACCTATTGGTGTCGCGTGTACAATAATCAAGAAAATGAAGAAAGCAGAAAAGTGGAAGTAACTATAGGTAAGGAGTCTAATAGTAAATTTAATTAAGCAGTAAAGTGGTATGTAGTTCAATGTGGCATTGCTTACGTTCTTCAGTGTAAGAAATTACTAATGGGATTGGTTATAATTAACAGGGCAGTTTTTACGGGACTTGTTTTCTATATACAGTAACTTAAAAAATTATTCCATAGAAAATTAAGGTCTGAACTTAGTTAGGTTCTTATTTGTTGATGCTGGACCCCAATGCAGTTGACATTCTTGTAACAGTCATTTTTTTTTAAATTTGATTTATATGCCGCCCTTCTCCGGAGACTCAGGGCGGCTTACAATGCGTTAAGCAATAGCCTTCATACTTTTGTATATTTATACAAAGTCAGCTTATTGCCCCCACAAACTGGGTCCTCAATTTACCTACCTTAGAAAGGATGGAAGGCTGAGTTGACCTTGAGCCTGGGGAGAATTGAACTCGCAGTAATTGCAGGCAGCTGGATGTTAAATGCTGCCTTAGGAGGCATTAACCTCCTATGCCACTCAGGCTCCTCATTATTTTATAGATTTTTTTTCACTTGCAGAAAATCTTGTTCAAACTATGTAATTATTGTGTTCCTCTGAATGTCAAGATTGCCACCAACATAGGATAAGCTTTATGTCCTAGGGCCATGATGCTGAACCTGTGGCACACGTGCCACAGGTGGCAGGCAGAGCCATATCGGTGGGCATGCAAGTGTTGCCCTAGCTCAGCTCCAGAGGGCCTCCAGGGGGGAGGCCGTTTTCGCCTCTGGAGCCTGGGGAGGACAAAAAACGGGCCTACCAGGCCCACTGTGCCATCACGTGCCAAAAGCGAGGGTAACGTGGAGGGCCACATGCGCATGCGCAGGGGGGCGTGGCGCATTGAATTATGGGTGTGGCCACGCACATGCATGACTCCCCCCCGCGCTCCCCCTGCTTTTGGCACATGACAGCAAAAAGGTTAGCCATCATTGTCCTGGGGGGGAAAATGATAAGATCTCTGTGCTATTTATCAAATTTCTAACCCTGCTACCATATTCACTTGATTTCCTGATGCTTATACATGCTGTGTGGGAAAGGAATATATATATATCAGTAATGTTACCCACTATTTGCATTCTGCTGGGGGTGTATAAGTAGGCTATGCATAATGTCAGAAGATTCTCAATAATCCAGATCATGGTTGTCCCAGTGGTGCTTTTCCAAAAGCCAACTGGACTTGGTTACATTTCTCATCCAAGAAGTTTCTCCACTTCAGTAACAGAACTAAGAAAGCTTCTTGGATGAGAAGCGAAAAATTTTCAAGGAAAAACCAAGACAGTCCAATTGCCTTTTGGAAAAGCACCTTTGGGATAAGATACCCATAAATTTTCATTTTTAATATTTTCATTTTTCTTAACTTTTTAAAATGTATTATGCGCTGTGAAGGAAAACACTATATGTAGTATAACACATCTACATATAATGATTATATAAAATGTATATGATTAATTTTAAATCAGGCTACGACCAGGCCTCATTTCCGTTTTTAGTTTCTAATTGCATGAAAGAGACTGGATTTCTAGTAGGTAGACAGTCAAAACCTGCTATAGAATTGAGATTATATTGTCCTTCCGTAAAACACTGCAAGTTGTTTGCATTATGAACAGTTTATTGTTCTGTAAGCCCTTTTAAGTTTATAATGTGCCGTGGTCACTATTGGTTGAAAGCCTCAGTATCAGGGGTGAAATCCAGCAGGTTCTAACAGGTTCTGGAGAACCGGTAGCGGAAATTTTGAGTAGTTTGGAGAACCGGCAAACACCATCTCTGGCTGACCCCAGAGTGGGGTGGGAATGGAGATTTTGCAATATCCTTTCCCTGCCACGCCTACCAAGCCACGCCCACAGAACCGGTAGTGAAAAATTTTGAATTTCACCCCTGCTCAATATTCTGTGTCCATTGTTGATCGCTCTCAGCTAGACATGCTAAATTATATGTATCAGCCCTTCGAGGTATACCAGACTAGGAAACCAATGCCATGTAGATTGGTTCTAATATTATTGTAAAGCTATAGTAATAGAATCTTGCAAGTCTGTATACATTTCCCCTTCTCTCCCTTCTTCATGTGAATTAGGGAGGAGCCTGTTTGAAAGATTTACTCATTATTTTCTTGATCGTGGCTGATGCCTTCTTATCTGCCTATTACACTGATAGCAATTCTATTTAGGGTTACTCCACATGCCCTCTACACTGTGTTTGTCTACGTGATTTGCAGAGAACGTGATTTGCGTAAGCTCCCTTTAGATCTCTGAACAGTGGCAGAGGAATAACTGACTTCGCTGTTCTATTATAAATATGAGGTTGGCTCCATGATTTTAGAAAAAATAAAAGTATACAATGAAGAAGGAATATTTTAAATGCCTTCAATGTTTCATTATGTATGCCCTTTATGAATTTGTTGCCAAAAAAAAAAACCCTCTACACACATATTCTGTTCAAACCTGTCCTGGTTTCCAAGTTTGGGATTTTAAATATCCTCATATGCATCTGCCTTTATTAGATCCTTAGGCAAATAAAAAAAAAAATAGATCCAGTTTTCTCTCAGTTTGGCAGACACACATTTAAGTATGAATTATGCAGTAATGCTTGGCTCTGGACTTGTTGGAAATGTAAATATAACCTACCCCCTATGTGTATTCTTTGCCTGTCACGAATAAAATCAGAAGCTTCACTGTAGCATTCTTTTCTCTTGAAACTCAAGGTGGAAAATCTGTTGCAGTAGAATGCACGGAAGGTAACGTTAATCAAATACTGTACAGCTTTCTGATAAAACCTAAAATAATGACAATTTGGTGATTCTGGGATCTATAGCTGGAATGGAATGTTGTGCTGTATGAATGCCAATGTGATGCCATATCCTTGCACGAGCTGTTCATTTCTTCTTTACATCTTCTACTAATTGTACAAAGTTAGTCCTTTCCTTTGTCACTAACTTTGTAAGCATTGAACACAGCAATAATTAAACATCGTTTTCTTTCTGCTTTTAATTTTAATTTTTAGTTAACTCATAAATCCCTTTTCATATATTTATTTAAACTGTATGTTAATTTTTCTTTGTTTCTTTTAGATGAATTAAATATCCTTGCAAGACCTGGTAAGTTTATTATACGGGATAACATAAAAACTGCAGCTCGCTCTTTATGTATGCTCATATACTGGACAACATATATTAAATCTTTAGGATCTTTGCTCATTAATAGAAATTTGCTTCTATTAATATTGTTACTGATGGTGCTCATTATTTTTTTCAATTTTTGAATATATCATTGAATTTATAATCAACGTTTACAGTATATATGTAATTATTCATGCTACACAATAGTTTAAATGTTTCCCTGGCCTGCTATAAAAATTAAAAGTAGATATTAGGTGGAAAGCCAATGCTACAAGATAAGTTTAATAAGTTGGTTTATTTAATGTGGTGAGCTGAATCATATCTATTTTGACCTCCTAAATTCATTATGAGAATCGTCCTCCAGTAGCTAAAGACTTGATGTTGAGCAGCTACCAGAGGTGGTATTCAGCAGCTTCTGACAGGTTCTGGAGAACCTGTAGCGGAAATTTTGAGTAGTTCAGAGAACTGGTAAATACCACCCCTGACTGGCCCCGCCCCCATCTATTCTGTACCTCCCGAGTCCCAGCTGATCGGGAGGAAATGGGAATTTTGAAGCAACCTTCCCCTGGAGTGGGAAGGGAATGTAGATTTTGCAGTATTCTTTTCCTGCTACACCCACCAAGCCACACCACGCCCACAGAACCAGTAATAAAAATTTTTGAATCCCACCACTGGTGGCTATGTATAGGTAGATATCTCTTTCTTCTTTAACCATGGGGCATCATAAATATGTATCAGCTATTAATGTATATCAACTACTGTATTATTTATACATGATAAAATGATCCAGATACTAAGTGAAGATAGTATGAAATGAATCATACTGTTGATTGATATGCTAAAACTAGCACAGATATATAATCAGGTGCTTGCTAAATCCAAAGAATTATCAAATGATACTTCCATTAAGAATTATGCCAAGTATTTTGTTCCCTCTCTAAAAATCATGTCAGTTCTCTTACATATTTGAATTTTGACAAGTATTGCTCTGGGTTCTAAGCCACTTTCTTTGCGTGAAATGTCTTTGTGAGTGTGTATTTGTCCTTAAGATTGTAAGTTGCACAGTAATAATAATAGAACAATGAAAAACAAAAATGTTTTGGTTTTCAGTTTCCAATGGCCAAGAATCTTTTACTAGCCCAAAAGCAGGAATTAGAATCCCTTAAAGCTACATTAGGTTTATATAATGAGCTTGGAAAGATATTTCTGATTTTCATAGTCAGTTCTCTGTGGGTAGCATTGTTGGAATATTTTCATGACTGATAAGAGGAAAGTAAATGATTTTGCAAGGAGTTTCCTTCGCTTAGGAACACTTGGGAACAGCAAGATTGTAGTATTAGGATCCAATTTTTAATTTCTTGGAGCATAATCCTGCTTTCATCATTCTGGAAACAGAAGTGTAAAAATTCCAAGATGTTAAATATTAGGAATATTTCTCTCCACCATTAGATAAAAATATCAAAAGAGAGCTTCACAAATTATGTTGCAAACAGATTGTGGCTAGAATGAGTATTGCAGGCTGACTCTGCCCACAGCCAGGAGTTCAGTTCTCACTGGTTGAAGGTTGACTCAGCTTTCCATCCTTCCGAGGTTGGTAAAATGAGGACCCAGATTGTTGGGGGCAACAGGCTGACTCTGTAAACCACGTACAGAGGGCTGGAAAACACTATTGGAGCAGTAATATAAGTCTAAGTGCTATTGCTATTGTTATTACGGGGTCTTTATTTGGCTGTTTACATTGAATGGTCTGATAAATGGAACATTGTTTGGTTTTTCTGAACAGATTTTATCTTACTCACATTGCACGAAATTCCAAAACTTATTCCATTATTTAATATAATGTACTAATTACATTAAAATACTAATTCTAGCAGATCGCTAAAAAATACCCAGACAGCTACTTCTAACAAGCCCAGAAAATTATAATTACTTCAGTAGGGAAGATTGAAATTTTATTTTTGTAACCTGCATATAGGTAATCTTCGACTTACAACCATTTGTTTAGCAACCATTCAAAGTTACAACAGCACCCAAAAAAAAATGATCTATGAGTGATCCTCACATTTATGTTCATTGCAGCATCTCCATGGTCACATGATCAAAATTTGAGTGCTTGGCAACCAGCCTGTATTTACAATAGTTGCAGCATCCGAGGCAGGGGTGGGTTCTACTTACTTTTACTAACGTTTTGCAACGGGATCGCGCATGCGCAGAAGCTTCTGATGACATCAGGGTCAGTGGGCGGAGCCTCCCACCGGTTTTACTACTGGTTCTATAGAACCGGTGCGAACCGAGGGCAACCCACCACTGATCCAAGGGTCATATGATTGCCATATACAATCTTCACAGCTGGCTTTCGACAAGCAAAGTCAATGCGGGAAGCCGGATTTGCTTAAGAATCATGTGATTCACTTAACTAATGAAGCGATTTTCTTAAAAAAGACTGGCAAAAAAAGACGTATAAAGGGGCATGACTCACTTAAAAACCAAATCTGGCTTAGCAACAGAAATTCTGGTCCCAATTTTGGTTGTAAATTGAGGACTGCCTAAAATACATATCAATTACCTTATGAATTTATAACACAGATCAGTCTAGTAATGCTCAGTTTTAAAAGTCACCTAAGCAGAATTCCATCAGGAAGTAAAACTGGGATAACTCCAAGGAACAGGATATTCCTTTTTTAAAAATTAAAACCCAAACATTTCCCTTGTTAAGAGCAAGAGTGATCCAAGCTGAAGAATATTTGAGGACCCAGATTGTTGGAGGCAATATGCTGACTCTGTAAATTGCTTAGAGAGGGCTGTAAAGCACTGTAAAGAGGTATATAAATCTAAGTGCTAAACAGGGGTGGGTTCCACTTACCTTCGCTACCAGTTTGCAATGGGAGCGTTCACACGCGGCACTTCTGTGCATGCGCAGAACGCCCGTGATGACGTCCGGGTGGGTGGGCGGAGCCTCCCACCGCTGCTACTACCGGTTCGCAAGATCCAGAGCAAACCAGTAGCAACCCACCACTGGTGCTATTGCTATTGTTATTATTTGTAAATTTTTCTGACATTGGTGAATCCAAAACTTTTTTCATTCTTTCTTTACAAAACAGATCTTGAACAACCAACTGAGAGACAGTTTGGTAAGTAGCTTTACATTCCAACCAGGCAAATCCTTATTTTTTATTATTATTATTATTAAAATGCTGCCCATCTCACTAATACAGCAATTCCGAGCCTTTATAATACAGAGATGATGCATATCTAAGGTAGTGTTTCCCAACCTTAGCAGCCTTAAGATATGAATGGCTGTGAATTCTGGGAGTTGAAATTCACATATTTTAAAATTCCCAAGTTGAGAAACATTCACTTCTCAATACCAGATTATTCATTTATCCAAGCAAAAAGAAACAGGGCAATATGATTCTGGCCAAGTTTACAAAAAATATATATATCAGTATTTTCAATATTTAACCATGAATTAAAAGAATTCTGTAAATTAAAAGAAGAAAACCCTGTATTTGTAGTTTGCGATTGCTGTCTGATGCAGTCTGCATATTCTAGCCATGTTATATATTATCTAACCCAAATCTCTTTATTTCATGTTTTATGGTACCATAGAAATCTTCATAGTTCCATGATTTGGACTGCAGCTTCCTCTTACCTCCCAATTTTGTCTTTGTTTAGCAGTAAGAAGATAAGGAAACAAGTTCTATTCTAGGTATACAAATTTAGATATGTAGATTTATGCTTCCCTATTATTTATTTAGATTTATATTCTGCCTTTCTTCCAGGAATTTAAGATAGCTAGCCTTACAGGAGTAACACTGTATAGCAGCATAATGGAAGAACTCTCATGCAAATTAAATTTTCTTTACACAAAGTTGACAGATCCAGAAGGGTACACCAGTGGGAGAAAGACTGATGGTACAAATTCTGAATTTGCAGGAGCCAATTCCATCGTTGACTACATTTGTTTAATATAATTGCAGCAGCAGCCCATTAAATTTTAAATTTAATTTAATTTAAATTTCAAAAATTAAATTAAATTTTAAACCATACTCCTTTATAGGCAATACCTTCATCATTGCTCAAGAATTATTGAAGTCTAAAAATAGTTTATTTTTTAAAAAATGCTTTCTTGTAACTTCAGAACTACTAATTAGTTAAATTAAGTAATTAATTCAGACAAGCTTAATTTCTTGCTTCATTCTTTGTTTGAAATCTGGCTTTCCAGAAAAGGTATTTAAGCTCATTCTGGGAAAGGTTCCATTAGAATTTGATTATTTGTTTGGCAAAGAACATTTGTTTATACAAGGGATTTAAATATAGATGTGAACAACAAAAGGTCAGTGTGTTTCCTTAGCACAATAAAATGCAAACTATTTGTATGATGCTACATAAACATCCTCAGTGCAATGGAAACTAGCTGGGCTATTGCAATTATATGAAACAAATGCAATGTTGGAATTTGCTCCTGCAAATTCGGAATTTGTACCATCAGTCTTTCTCCCACCATTGTATGTGTCAAGTCTGTGTAAAGAAAATTTAAGTTGGATGAGAGTTCTTTCATTGTCCTGCTATGGAGTGATATCCCTGTAAGCTACTTTAAATTCTTGAAAGAAAGGTAAATTATAAATCTAAATCAGGGGTGTCAAACTCGATTTCATTGAGGGTCACATCAGGGTTGTGTTTGACCTTGGGGTGCTGGCATGGGCATGGTCAGGGTGGGCATGGCCAACTCGATGTCATTCGTATTGGGGGCACCTATGGTGGCCCGAGAGCTCTGTCAGTGAAAACAGACTCCCAATCTCCATTTTCAGCTGGGATGGCCTCCTGCAACCCTCTGCCAGCAAAAACAGAGGTTGGGCGGGCCACATGAGGCCCTCCCAAGCTCCTTTCTTGCTAGCAGAGGGTTGCAGGAGGCCATCCCAGCCGAAAACGGCAATTGGGAGGCCATTTTCACTGGCAGAGGCACCGTGGGCCGGTCCTTCTCTGTTTCCAAGGTGGCCCCAGGGCCAGATCTAAGCAGCCCGCAGGCTGCATGCAGCCTCCGGTCCTTGAGTTTGACAACCTTGATCTAAATAAATAATAAAGAAGGATAAAATCTACATATTGTAATAGCACATGTGATTTAAAAGTGATACTCCCACCATTACTATAAAAACCGTTCAAGAAAGCTGAGCTTATTCAAAGATGAGTCAAGAATCTGGAATTCCTATTCACAAGTTTGACAAGCAATGAGATAGCAAAGCAAGATAGCATTTAACAAAATGCAAAATTCCCAACTGGAAGTACAATTCATGCTGTCTGTTGTTTGTATTACATCTGGCAGTTTGCAGCCCATTTTGCTAATGTATACTTTTTCTTTGGATGAAATCCTATGCTATCCGTAAAAAAGGTCCGTATTAAATCCCTCTGTGTTGTATTAACCACCCCAAACAAGTGATAATTGAACTCTTGAGAGTGTGTGGTCATTTGTAACTCTGTCTCGGTGAAATGGCTGTCATTGAAATACATCTTGATATATTGTATTTCATCTATAAACTATGTGTTCAATCCCTAAAGCTACAAGGATAAACAGTAAATATAAGTCCAACGCAAAGAAATTGGTTTGCAATGGTTTCAGAAAAACGATTAATTTTTATTATACCAAAACCATTTTTTAATGCTTTGGTAAGGCCACATTTGGAATTCTGCAGCCAGTTTTGGTCACCATGATGTAAAAAAGATGTTGAGACTCTAGAAAGAGTACAGAGAAGAGCAACAAAGATGATTAGAGGACTGGAAGCTAAAACATATAAAAATGGTTGCTGGGATTGGGTATGTCTAGTTTAATGAAAAAGAAGGACTAGGAGTGACATGATATCAGTGTTCCAATATCTAAGGGGCTGCCATAAAGAAGAGGGAGTCAAACTATTCTCCAAAGCAGGGGTCACCAACCTTTCAGACCTCAGGGACCACTAAATTCATAACTTTCAATCCTCTGGACCACTAATATGAATTAGTGATGAGATGGGGTCCTTCAGGCACTTAGTGTGGCTGCCTGTTAACAAAGAGAAGCACCCGGGGTCAACCCTAGTTTTGTTGTCCATTGCAGCTAGAAATCTCAAATACAACCAAGAATGAATGTTTGTCTTGTAGCCAGCCCGGGCGCTAGATGCCTCCCCCCTTGCAAACTCTTTCTCTTGAGGAGCCCGGCTGAAGTTTCGTGCACCGCTCATTGAAGAATCTGGACTCCCAAGGAGGGAGGAAGGGGCTGGAGCTACTAAACAGGCAGCCAAGCTAAATGCCTGAAGGACCCCATCCCATCAGCAAGTGGGATTAATTGCTTTGGCAGGCCGTATCCGGCCCAAAGCCCATAGTTTGAGGATCCCTGACTTAGTGCAATATAAAAAATGCAAAAATGCAAAGATTTTTCTGCAGATCACCAAAATTTTCTCATGGACCACCAGTGGTCCACGGACCACCAGTTGGTGACTGCTGCTCCAAAGCACCTGAGGACAGGACAAGAAGCAATGGGGGGAAACTAATCAAGGAGAGAACCAAACTAGAACTAAGGAGAAACTTTCCTGATAGTTAGAACAATTAATCAGTTTGCCTCCAGAAGTTGTAGGTGCTTCAACACTTGAAGTTTTTAAGAAGAGATTGGATATCCATTTGTCTGAAATGGTATAGGGTTTCCTGACTGAGTAGGGGGTTGGACTAGAAGACCTCCAAGGTCCTTTCCAACTCTGTTATTCTGTTAAAACAAGGCAGGAAGTGAGCCTGAACTTGAATCAAATTTTGGACTAATGTTTGCCCTTGCTTCTGTAGTTGATATTAACGTGATTTGCCTCTTTCTCTCCAAATACGCTTCATTATGCATTCATTAGCTGTGGTGGCTGCAGGCTACTTCTGCTGATCACCAGTTGCCACAGTTTGGCAGATTGAATGTCACCAGGCTCAAGGTTGACTCAGCCTTCCATCCTTCCGAGGTCGGTAAAATGAGGACCCAGATTGTTAGGGGCAATATGCTGACTCTGTAAACCGCTTAGAAAGGGTTGTAAAGCACTGCGAAATGCTATATAAGTCTAAGTGCTAGTGCTGTTACACATTTTTTTAATGGGGAGTTACTTATGTAAAAGATACCATGAAGTCTTCCTATGAATTATCATGCATGTTAATTTCCTTGCATGCATACTATGGAAAATCTATTTAGAAACATGCTTTGGTTTCTCCCTTTGTAGCAGTAGATAAAGTGGCACTACTGATGGGGAACATGAGCTACTATAACCATCCCAAACTCAAGGCTCCGTTAGTTGATGTTTACGAGCTGACCAACTTGCTGAGGCAGATGGACTTTAAAGTGGTCTCCTTGCTGGATCTGACCGAACCTGAGATGAGGAATGCAGTGGATGAGTTCTTACTGCTCCTGGACAAAGGTGTCTATGGTAAGAGTTTGATTTGGTGGCCAATCAAGCTGAGTTTCAGTTTGATTGCCAGAATGTATCTTTCATGGTTACTTTATTTGGCCGAATTTGGGTTTCTACAATGAGGAGGAAATTGGACTGGATAGCATAAACAGCCTCTTCTAGCACTGTGATTCTCTGATTCTAATAACGTAAACAAAAAGCATCACTTTGTAAAATACATAAAAAATGTACGTTACGTTGGTTGTAAGTTGAGGACTACTTGAAACATACAGGTAGTCCTCGACTTACAACCATAATGGAGCCCAAAATTTCTGTTGCAAGACATGATGTTGTAAATCAAGGCACTCATGTGACCAGACTTAATTTTATGACTTTATTATGGCAGATATTAAGCAAAAATGTCATAAATCACAGTCACATGGCCATGGAATGGTGCAACCAGCTGTTGGGACCAGTTGCCAAACAGCCAAAATGAGGTCATGTAGTGTTTAGGACTGTTTTCAAGTTGGAACGTGGCCTTCAGTCTGTAATTTTTTTTCCTATTCATTTTGTGTACGCATGTGAAAATGTCTTTTGCTGTTTAATCAAACATAGTCTGCTTTACCCAGTGCACCTCTCTCTCATGTTCTTTTTGCCATCGCTCAATCTTTTAAATGAAGAGGCCGTGGGCTACAACCTCTCAAATCATCGATATTCCTTTTACACGCCTATTACTTTTTCGAACTGATTGAAAAATGCATGTCTCTGAAATCTCACCAGTATATTATTTTTCGTAGTTGTCATTACAAATACTCTTCACCAGGCCAGGATAGGAAGAGCCCAGCTTCTAATAGTACATAAATATAGTCACGCATTGGTTCGAGTTGGACGTGTCTCCGCAATAGATGCTAGCACACAATGTGAAGTGGTTCTATATGCAGCTTTTTCATTGCTCAGAGGCTCAATGCTTGATTCACTTAGTTCCTCCTGATCTGACATTCAGAATGCCTTTCACTCTTCATGTGGCTGAGCCAACAATCGCTCTTGACAGGAAGATTTATTGTAATAGCACTCACAGCTTTTCAGACCGCAGCATTCTTTGACAATCCTTTTTAGCAGCGGCTTGTTAGAAACATTCAGATCACTCGCGGCTATCGATGGGATGTTGCAGTTGCTTCGCGATCAGGATCAGCCGTGCTTGTATCCATTAACTGTGGGTGTGTTTTTATTTATTTATTTTTAGATTGAATTTGTATACCCGCCCAACCCGTACATAGGTAACTCCGGACAGCTTACAAAATTTTAAAAAGTCACGGTATAATAAAACTCATTTAAAAAAAACCCCACACGCACCTCCCTTGGCAGCAACAACACAATAAAATCAGTCACTTGATCGGATCCCTCTCCATTAGTGGGTACCGGGCCTACTGACAAAGCTATGTTTTTAGGACTTTTCAGAAAAGCAAAAGGATGGGGGCAGGGATGGGCTGCTGGCGGTTTGCAGGGGTTCGGGAGAACTTCTAGCTAAGATTCTGTGTAGTTCGGAGAACCCCCAAATCCCACTCCTGGCTGGCCCTGCCTAGCCCCTCCCAGGAATCTCCATGTGGCCCGTTTTGGATGCAGGTAAGTGCAGGGTGCACACGGAGGCTCAGGTAGGGCGAAAAACGGGCCTACCGGAAGTAGGGCCAGAGGGCCTCTGGAGCATGGGGAGGCCATTTTCTCCCCTCCAGAGCCCGGGGAGGGCAAAAATGCCCCCCCTGCTGTGGTGCAGGAGGCCGACTAGACCATGCCCACCATGGCCATGCCCACCCAGCAACCGGGCAGAGAACCCCTTGCTAAAATTTTTGAAGCCCACCCCTGGATGGGGGAACTATATCTCAGGGGGAATGATATTCCATAAAGAAGGAGCCACCACCGAGAAGGCCTTTTTTCATGGCCCTATTGATGGTAGCCCCTAATCAAGGAAACCCATAGCATGTCCTGCCTTCCTGTCCTGGTGGGCCGGGTAGATATAAGAAAATATTTTAATATTTTAATGAAATATTTTGAAAGTTCTAGGTCACAACCTATGAAAATCCAAACACGGCAGAAAGAGAACCATGTTTCTTATCATGAACAGTTTGATTCAGAATCCATATGATGGTGTTATCTAGAAATTATTTAACAAAATAATGTTTTGCATAGCCAAATATTGTAAACTTCTCTAAAACCCGTGAAATCTTGTACAGCTAATAGCTAAAGGTTTGGGTTTTTTTAAAAGACTCAGTAGTTTCTCTTCCATTTATTAAAATAAGTGTTCAGGGGAAAAAAAGTAAAGATACAATACCACTTCCTTTCAAGGAGCATTTTTGTCAAAATAAGCTTGACTCCTGGGCACTTAACAGATATTTGCAGGCGGATTTCTTGACCACAATACGGAAGTGGTTTGCTTCTGCATTGTATTTTTCTGACTTGCTATTTGTTTAATTGAGTGAACATTCCTTGCACACTCTGAAAGGAATCAAGGGAAGATGATGTTAGAGCAACCACCGGCAGTGATGGTTATGAGCATTATGAGCATTGAGACTCAATGCAAAACATCCTTAAACTCATGCAACACTATGTTGGGTTGAGAAGGCTGCATTAAAGCACAACATCCTTTACAACCAGCCGAAGTAGGTCCTTATCCTAATATCTCAAACATTTTTTATTAAATTATTAAATATTATAAAATACAAAATATGAAAGCAAATAGAGGAACATTAAGGAAGGAGGGGAAAGAGGAAACGGAAGTAGGAAGGGTAGGAAAAAGAAAAGAAAAAGAAACATTGACTCCCTCTGTTGCAGTAAAATAAAACTTCAAGTCACAACTTTTTGTTTTTCCATAATAATATAAACAAGTCATTTTTATAAAGATCTATCAATCTAATCTGTAAAACTCAAAGTCAAAGTTACATTCTTTTCCACATCAAGCATGAAATTCAGAAGCAGTTTCCATGTGAAAACAAAAGTACTTACCGTATTTTTCAGAATATAAGACACACTTTTTTCCCTCCTAAAAGAGGCTGAAAATTTGGGTGCATCTTATACTCCGAATGTAATGCGCAAAATGGTTACCTAGAACAGCTGCTGCCTTCTCTTACCCCTTCCGTGCTTTGCCTCCAAGGATCAGCTGTACTTTTGAAGCTGTTTTTCAGCCCCAACACCAGCGAAGCATCTTCCGTGCTTTGCCTGCTTTTCTAATTGCTGCTCCCTCCGACAATCAGCTGTACTTTAGAAGCACAGCCCCAACCTCAAAACCAGTGAGCGAACTAATGTGCTGGAACTAGCCAGATGAATACCTGGTAGGTAGAATTTTTTTTCTCCCTATTTTCCTCCCCAAAAACTAAGGTGCGTCTTTTACTCAGAAAAATACGGTATATTCTTTTCTTTAATCAGAGTAGTTAGTTTTGCCATTTCAACCAACTCCATCAACTTCTGCAACCATTTCTTCCATGGTAGGTATCAAAGTGTGTTTCCATTTTTGCACATATAACAATCTTGCTGCTCTCAACATGTATAGTAACAAAGTTCCATTTTTTTTTCTCCAGTTCTTTTTCCATTAGTCCCAAAAAGAAATGTTCTGGTTTCTTTTCTATCTGCAGTCTATCTTACCCTAATATCTCGACCTAGATTCCTTGTTTGTTTAGCAGTGAAATTAAATGAATTGTTTTGCTTAGCAATCTTGCTTAGTATAATTGTTAAATGTGTTTTGGTTTTCTCACCCCCCCCCAGGTCTATTATATTATGCTGGGCATGGCTATGAAAATTATGGTAATAGTTTTATGGTTCCTATTGATGCTCCAAATCCCTATCGAGCTGCAAACTGTCTATGTGTACAAAATATCCTCAAACTAATGCAAGAAAAGGATACTGGCCTCAATGTATTTTTACTGGATATGTGCAGAAAAAGGTATGATATTGCTTTCAACACTGAAGAATTCAATCCCGATAATTTGTGGCCCAAGATACATAGCTGTATGGATTCTACAGGAAGAAGCATGTTAAATCAGCTAGCTGAATACAGGTTTCACAATTTTCCAGTTCTTGGGAAATTATTCTTTTTTTAAACTTGGTTTTCAAAACAAATGCAAAATAATACAGAATAAAAAGAAGGGGTCCTTGGTGTACTCTGGACTTGAGGCAAGAACCTCCTCCTTTCAACCCTGAGCTACAAATATTTTCCTTTAAAGAAGTATTTCTTGGGCAGTTATGTTTTGCTGTTGTGTAAGAGACTTGATCTGCCTTCAAAGTTAAATGGTAGACATAACATGATTACCAGCTACAAACCAAAGCTCTTTAAGAACATTGAATGTTTCCTTCCAGCAGATAAAAGCTCAAAATCAGTGTTATAGAGCAGAGGTTTATTTTCCTATAGCAAAGTGGTGTCCAGCCTTGGCAACTTTAAGACTTGTGGACCTCAACTCCCAGAATTCCCCAGCCAGCCATGAAGTCCACAAGTCTTACGATTGCCAAGGTTGGACATCCCTGTTATACAGTGGTGGGATTCAAGTAATTTAACAACCGGTTCTCTGCCCTAATGATTTGTTCCAACAACCAGTTTGCCAAACTGCTCAGAAAGTTAACAACCGGTTCTCCCGAACCGGCTGAATCCCACCACTGCTGTTATAGTAATCCCTTGCAGGGATCCATCAACTTCTCTTTATATTACTAGAAGACTTTTGCAGATTACAGATTAACAGAGTTGGAAGGGACTTTATAGATCATCTAGTCCAACCCCCCCACTCAAGCAGGAGACCCTACACAATTTCTGACAAATGGCTGTCCAATCTTTTCTTGAAAGTCTCAAGTGATGAAGCTCCCACAACTTCCGAAGGCAGCTTCTGTTCCATTGGTTGATTGCTCTCACTGTCAGAAAATTCCACCTCATTTCTAGGTTGAATCTCTCCTTGGTCAGTTTCCATCCATTATTCCTTGTCTGGCCTTCAGGTGCTTTGGAAAATAGCTTGACCCCCTCCTCTCTGTGGCAACCCCTCAAATATTGGAACACTGCTATCACGTCTCCCTTGGTCCTTCTCTTCACTAGACTAGCTATGCCCAGTTCCTGTAACCGTTCTTCATATGTTTTAGTCTCCAGTCCCCTAATCATCCTGGTTGCTCTCCTCTGCACTTTTTCTAGAGTCTCATCTTTTTATAGTGTGGTAAGCAAAACTGGATGCAGTATTCTAGGTGTGGTCTTACTAGGGCTTTATATAGAGTGGTATTAGTACCTCACTTGATCTTGATTGTATCCCTCTGTTAATGCAATTTAGGATTGCATTGGCTTTTTTGGCTGCCGCTGCACACTGCTGGCTCATATTTAGCTGGTTGTCCACTAAGACTCCAAGATCCCTCTCACAGTCACTGCTCTTAAGCCTGGTTTCACCCAGTTTATATGTGTACTTTTAGTTTTTCTTATCTAAGTGTAGGACTTTACTTTTCTCAACATTGAATTAGCTGGAAAGGCAACTGTGCTTGTCCTGTGTGGCATCACCCATCCAACAACTCTGTTTTTCTTCACTAAGGAGTTGGTCTTCAAAATTCTAAACAGGCCAACCTCTCTTCTCTTTTGTGGTCCATAAGATAAGTTGCATATATTGATTATTCTTTGTTCACAACTTAATTAAGTCCAACTCAAACATTTTCAAAGAGTCTGTAAATCAGTTCTCAAACCATTTGTTTCTGAGCAACTTTACTATCATTTACTCATCTTTAGAATAAGCCAATGAAAATAGTGGGATCTAAGTCAGTCATGATTAATTCAGCCCATTGGTTTCCATGCAATGCAGAGACATTTATATTTAGAGGCGTTTTTAAAAGTTTTTCTTAATTGTTAAGTTTAGAAAAGCCAGCAGAAGAGGAATGAACATTTTGCAAGAGTTGTCAAAAATAGTCAAATATGTCCCTATTCATTAAGTATATATTTCCTGCCATATTGCTCTAGTAACATATAAAATTAGCTTTGCCCTTTTCAGGATAATGTTGATTTGCATCTTATGAAACTAAACTATGGAAGATATTTGCCAAACTACCACTGGCAAGCAGCTCAGCAATGATGGCATCATTAGAGAAAGAATTCTGATTTGTGTATCCACCCCTGATCATCACCACCACATAATCACTGTTGCTCAATCTATAATTTCAGCCAGTAACTACTGAGTAGTATTTCCTGATTACTTGGGCACCCATCAGAAATTATGGATGCTCCATCACTGGAGGCTTTCAAGAAGAGACTGGACAATCATTTGTTTGAAATGGTATAAGGTCTGCTGCTCAAGCAGGAGGTTGGACTAGAAGACCTCCAAGGTCCCTTCCAACCCTATTATACTATGTTAAGTTCTGAAGACCAGTGCTATTCAGTCAGCCAAACATATAAACAGTCAGCTCAGGGATAATATGACTCCACTTAATGAACACCATAATAACAGTATTCTAAATTAGTTGAAGCTTCTGAACTGTGTCTTCAAGGACATTGAAGATACTGTAGTAAAGCAGACATGAGTGATTGCACCAAGCCATCCAGGACACCAGTTCAATAAAAATAGATTGTAACAGTATTTTAACCAGACAATGAAATGGTGATATAGCTCACTATTTCAACCAACTGCTGTGATATGTAGAAGAATGATAAATGTATAATGGAAAAGGGCTTATAAGGGTCTAGAAGTGAAGCAAGCACTAAGTAAGACAACAATCTGTTTGTTAAAGAAAACTGGAATCATCAGATTGCTTCTAAAAGCCAGTCTCCTAGTATTTTCAGCATAGTATAATCAATCCAGAGGCATTTGTTTAATTATGTGATTATCCAATATTGTAAATCTCTTTTCTTCACTGACTTAAAGAGAGTTTTGGGTCCTTGCTATATGTCAATATGTCCAAAGATTGTAGCATATATGAAATGGCTTAAAACAGTGGTCCCCAACCTTTTTAACGCCGTGGCCCGCTGAGCGCGCGCAGGGGTGGGGCCACGGCCCAGGAGCTTTTGCGCACGGCCCAGTGCACAAAAGCGGCCGGGGGACATGAACGCTGCAGCGCAAAGGCTCCTGGGCCGTGCGCTGCAGCGTTCATGTCCCGCGGCCCGGTGCCAGGTACTCCACGGCCCGGCACCGGTCCGTGGACCGGGGGTTGGGGACCACTGGCTTAAAAGACTGAATTTCAGATTCCAGTCCTATTTTTCAAGACTTGCCTTCATTCTCTCCTTTAATTAAAAAACAGCATGAATTGTTTACCAAGCTGATGGAAGTACTTCACACTTCTGCCCAGGTATCCATTAGCAGATTCTTTCACAAGGGAGTGAAAGAAAAAGATTTGGAAATAAATAACAACATGCAGGAGTCATAAAAACATTAATTGTTCTATTCTTGTTTGAATATTCTATTCTGATTCAGGCTTTTTTGATCATTTTGATTCTTGTGTTTATTGAAGGAACGAATATGACAATACTGTTCTCGTCTTGGATGCCCTGAAGGTTACAGCTAACATTGTTTTTGGATATGCCACGTAAGAATAGCTATTAAAGTATTTATTTTTTTAAAAGTGTGGTAACTTATTTTAATTTCTAACTAATAATAATCTCTATTATCTTTGGGTATTACATGAATAAGATTCTGATTAGGCTTTAGCCATGCTTTATAATGCATGTTAGAGGTTAAAATCTGTTTTTATTCACGATCATTATTCAAACTGAGTGGGCATCAAGAGATATTTTTCATTCCTCTGTCACTGAGTCATGGATATGATTTTCAGTATTATAAAATATGGAAATATTAAACTCATAAGTCTCACCTCTTCCTTGCAAAAGAAATAACTGACTGTATTTGTTGATCGGAATATTAGCATCTTTTTAGCCACTTGATGAAAAACTTGCTTTTAAGACTGAGGAGATTGCATTTAGTTTAGTGCGAGACATCTTACTACCTACATTGTTTTCTCCCTGTGTTGAAGAAAAGAACACATTAAGTCTCAGCTATGCTGAGAAATCCCCTGAATTCTAAATAGCAGCTATTATTCTTCCTTGAGAGAAGAAAAATGGAGGAAGATTTCTTAAGGCCGCATAATGTATCAATGACAAGAGCTGGGCTTGAATCCAGATGAGATCCTGTTTATGGAAACTGTTGGCTCTCAGAACTTGGAGGACTCTTTTTTCAGACTTGGCAGCTATGTCCTCTGACACCATGGCTACAAATTTGTCTTATGAGACAGTATATATGTGGGAAGGGTTCACCATTGGTTTCTGCCTCAGGAAGAAATACTATTATGCGTAGATAGGTTTTTTCAAAGACTCTTTCCCTGTGTGCCAAAGTCACTGTGAAGAATGAAGCTGGCCTGCTCAGTCACTTACTCAGTCCATCAGTCCGCCCATCCATCCGTCCATCCATTGAAAGAGTCAATTAGATGGCCTGTGGCTTCTTGACATGATAAATTCTTTTCCATCTGTCTGATCAGTTTGAACAATTAGAAATATTCCTGCTGTACCATCTGAAGCAATGCTACCTCAGAAGTTTAACCTTTGTAGTTTAGACGCTGCGTGATACAGATGCCTCTCCCATCTATGGTGCTAACATGCTCTCTACGTATTGTCAAGGTGCCAAGGGGCAGAAGCTTTTGAAATTCAGCAGTCTGGATTGGCCAATGGGATTTTCATGAAGTTTTTGAAGGAACGTTTATTAGAGGACAAGAAAATTACTGTGCTGCTGGATGGTGTGGCAGAAGGTGAGAAAAACCTACCAGAAATAAAAAGAGATGTTTATGGATTAATTGTACAATAGTCCTTGCTTAACAATTGCTTGTTCGGTGACAATTTAAAGATATCACAGCCCATGACTTGTTCTCATTATTGCAGCTGTTGCAGTGGTCATGTGGTCACAGGTGTTTGGCAACTGGATTGCAATTATGACATCACAGCAACCCACGGTCACATGATTGCCATTTGCAAACTTCACTGCCGACTTTGGACATGCAAAGTCAATGGGGAAGCTGGTGGAAAGTCATAAATAGTGACCATACGACCATGATGGCAAACCTATGGCATGCGTGCCACAGGTGGCACGCGAAGCCATATTAGTGGGCACACCAACTCAGCTCTGGGGCGCATGCGCGTGCCAGCCAGCTGATTTTCGGGCCTTCTGGGCCCACCAGAAGTAGGGAAACAGGCTGTTTCCTGCCTCTGGAGGGCCTGGGGGTGGGGGGATGGGGAAGGCCCGTTTTTCTTTCTTACCTGGCTCCAGATCCTCTCTATTTATCTGGGAAGGGCGAAAACAGCCTTTCCCACTCCCTTGGAGGCCCTACGGAGGCTGAAAGGGCCCATTTCCCAACTCCCAGTGGGACAGGAAGTGAATTTTTTGCTGTCCCCCAGCCTCCAGAGACTCCTAGAGAGGCTCCTAGAGACTCCTAGAGAGGCTCTGGAAGCTGGGGACAGCAAAAAATGTCACTTCCTGTCGCACCGGGAGTTGGGAAATGGGCCATTTCAGGCCTTTGGAGGGCCTTCGAGAGAGTGAGAAAGGCTATTTTCGCCCTTCCTAGATAAACAGAGAGGATCTGGAACCAGGTAAGAAAGAAAAACGGGCCTACCAGGCCATCATGTGCCAGGAGCAGGGAGGGAGGGTTGCACGCGCATGTACGTGGGCACATGTGTGCGTGACCCTCCCCCGCCCCCCCTCCTGGCACGCGATGGCAAAAAGGTTAGCCATCACTGCCATACGACATGTTTAACAACCATATGAGATAAACCTAACCACAATCAGAAATACCAAAAATGCCATTGTAAGCTGGCACATTCATGTGACATCATACTTTATGATAGTGACTAAGTTGCCTGTCCCAATTGCCATCGTTACGTGAGGACTACCCATCTATATATATAAAAGCGAAAACCACTCACGCATTAATCACGAAATCTCCAGAACCGTAAAGCCTACAAACTTGAAATTTGCCATGTATGTTCCTCTCGGCTTCTAGGTGCTCACCAAGAAAGGATTTTTAAAAATGACCATCAGAGCATTAGTATTTCCTACCTATTTCCACGCTCTGATGCTAATTAGTTAGACATTCTACTCCCCCTCCCAACTTGAAAATAACTCTGGAGAGAATGGGATAGCATAGGACAGGCTTCTGTGGGGCAAGCCTCATGGAGAGAAGGGGCTAGAAAGCCTGAGGGAAAGAAGGGGATAGGATAGGAGATGTTTCTGTGGGGCAAGCCTGAGGGAGAGAAGGGGAGAGGCTTCTATGGGGCAAGCCTGAGGGAGAGAAGGGGAGAGGAGAGGCCGATCATAACTACTCATTAATTTTCAAACTCTGTCGATTTATCAAGCCTCATCACATAGTTTCGTAATGGACCATGGGTATTCAGCTAGTATTTTATATACTCTACTTAGAAGGAAAATTACAAGCAAGGCTTTATTTGGCAGGGTTTTGTGGACTGGAAACTTAAGTACTATTGATATACAAGAATGCATTCCAGGAAATTACCCTATATTTAGGTTTTGATCAGTTCATAAATTCTTTCCTATATCTGACTCACTAGTTACGATTGTCACCCATAAGAACAATTCTTTTGCATGGCCTCACTTGGTATTTCATTTGGTTCTAACACCAAGAGATTAAGATTGTGAAAAGCTAGGTATGCCTTGTTTATATAAGCTTACTTGTTTCTTTATCAACCTGGAGGAGGGTTTTTTTGCTCAAAATTGTCCCTCAAATGGATTTTTGCCATATTGGAATACAGATACACATTTTAAACAAGCATCTGGAAGCCTGTGAGTAAAACAGCCTGGGGAAATGGTGCAATTTTGGTGGAAACATTATTGGCAGGGAAAGAATTAGTGAAGTGTGCACCTGTCATTTTTCTATTCAAAATCATCCCTTTTTGCAGCTTTTTATAAACAAAAAGGAAGCCTGTCAGAGAATTTGCTGCTAGCATTATGAAAAATGTTTAATGTGCCTTCATTTATTTAGAGGTTGTTTTTAGGTTTTTGTTTGTTTGCAAAGTAAGAGAGGATTGGAGAAGGAAATACCTCGATCTTTGCTCTTTCATATAGATTCTGCAGCTGGTCACAACTGCTGTTTATGAAGTCTGCTGCTATTTTGTTGCCATTTCTTTTACTAGAACTAATTTCTCTGATAATCTCGGAAAATCAAGGAGTTAGGTACTAAATGTATTGGTATTAGGTAGGGAGTTAAATAGGAAGCTAGGCAGCTGTCAGTTATTCCTTTGATAGTCGATTTCCTGGGAACTCCAAGCCTGCCTACTAAACAGAGAATAGAAAAAAGAATACCAGGACAAGGCAACATGACACATCCACAAACACAGAAATGCTCAGTCAGTGTTTACCGTTATAAAGAGGAAGGCCGCCTTCATCTCATACCCTAGTCGTAGAAACCCCTGCCATTCAGAATAGAATAGAAAGGGCTCTGCCGTAAGTAGACAAAATGGCAACGAAGGTCAGCTGAGGTTCCTTGAGACTTTCTGAGCTTGGTTGTTTTCTAGCAGGCATTTCACTACCCAGACTAGGTAACATCAGCAGCAACATGAAGATGTTACCTTGTTTGGGTAACGAAATATCTGCCAAAAAAAAAAAAAAAAAACCAACCAAGCTCAGAGAGCACCAACATCATTTCAACCCGGAGCTACGAATATTCTCCTTTATAAACTCAGCTGAGCTCAAAACCCTGCTGAATCCAAGCCCCATCCAGTGGAATAATTCTCTCTCCCTCTCTCTCTTTCTTTCTTTCTTAGCAGCTTTTGGATTCAGAGGGTTGAAAGTTATTGAGAATTATCCTCCACCTGGCCTAAAGTTAGGCCTGAAGAGTGGGTGCCTTCCTAATCTGGTTGGGTTTTGCATTTTATGGAAATTTCTGCTACTGGACTCTTGGAGTTTCTATTTGCAGAAATGACTCAACGGTTCATCCTTTATATCTAAATCATAATACAAATATTTTAATGAATCTAATGTGCTCATAAGAGGCTGCTTTGATCCAGTCTCCGGTCATATTCAAAGACCTATCCTGGAACAGGTTAAAGGACTTTTTTGGTAGTCTCCACATTGTGTAAGTCCTCAACTTACAATCATTTGTTTAGTGACTGTTTGAAGTTACAACAGCACTGAAAAAGTGACTTATGACCGATTTTTGTACATTTATTTATTTATTGGTTCAATTTATATGACGCACTTTTCCGGAGACTCAGGGCGGCTTACAATTTTTTTTTTTTAATTTGATTTATATGCCGCCCTTCTCCGGAGACTCAGGGCGGCTTACAGTGCGTTAAGCAATAGCCTTCATCCTTTTGTATATTTATACAAAGTCAGCTTATTGCCCCCACAAACTGGCTCCTCATTTTACCTACCTTAGAAAGGATGGAAGGCTGAGTCAACCTTGAGCCTGGTGAGATTTGAACTTGCATTAACAACCATTGTAGCATCCCCACAATCATGTAAAATTCAGGTGCTTGGCAACTGGCATCTATTTATGGCCTGAGATCATGTGACCACCATTTGCAACCTTCCCAGCCAGCTTCCAACAAGCAAAGCAGGGGTGGATTCTACTTACCTTTACTACCGGTTTGCAACGGGGCTGTGCGCGCTTCTGCGCATGCACAGAAGTTTCCTGATGACGTCGGGGTCAGAGGGCGGAGCCTCCCACTGGTTTTACTACCGGTTCTATAGAACCGGTCCGAACTGGGGGCAACCCACTACTGAAGCAAAGTCAATGGGGTTGACATTAAGATTCACTTAATGACAGAATGACTCACTTTACAGCTGTGGCAAGAAAGGTTGTAAAATGGGACAAAACTCACTGAACAACTGTCTCGCTTAGCAGCAGAAATTTTGGGCTCAATTGTGGTCGTAAATTGAGGATTACCTGTAGGTCTAGCTCTCTTCTGACCTTCAAGAAAAAGTTGGGAAATCCATTTTAAACAGCAATTTGATGTCTAAGCTGTATTCTGGGACCATCATCTATTAAAATGTCTGAACTGAGGCAACTGGGTTACCTATTTTATATTGTTTCATTATAATGTGTATTACCTAGAATCCTAAGGAAATTAGCAGTATGGAAATTATTGTACCAAAGAAATGTTTTCAGAGGGAAGAAAGGGCATGGTAATTATTAATCAAAATAAGCTTCTGGGTTTTGTATTTTATTTTTAGATATGGGAAAGTGTCATCTTACCAAAGGCAAGCAAGCTTTGGAGATTCGCAGCAGCTTATCTGAAAAGAGAGCATTAACTGATCCTATTCAGCAAACTGTAACCTCAGCAGAAGCTTTGGCACGAAATCTACAGTGGGCAAAAGCGCATGGTACAGTAAATGTGAAAGTTAACCTTTTTGCTTAGCTATGAGAAAGCCATAACCTTGGGCCAGTCTCTCTCAGTCCAACTCGCCTCACAGGGTTGTTATTGTTGTGGGGGAAATAAAGAGAGAACGGTTGATTAGATAAGTTTGCTGCCTTATTTGTAAGAATAATAAAAGCAGGAAACAAATTAAGTAAATAAATCTGTAGCCCTTATGTCCCTAAAATACATACTTAAAAAATTAAGTTATTTGTATTGAAGTATTAGTTTCTCATAGCACAGAGGTCATAACAGATAGAGGGAAAGAGCAAAGGAAATGAAATATATATATATATATCACTATTTCCTTGCTTAATGTACTTTGTCAATATTACCTCATAACTTAGGAGCTGGCAATTGTTTTATTGTCCCCCACCTACCCAAACTTTCTTTGGTTGTACTGAATTTTTTTTTTTTTTAAATTTGATTTATATGCCGCCCTTCTCTGGAGACTCAGGGCGGCTTACAATATGCTAAGCAATAGCCTTCATCCTTTTGTATATTTATACAAAGTCAGCTTATTGCCCCCACAATCTGGGTCCTCATTTTACCTATCTTAGAAAGGATGGAAGGCTGAGTCAACCTTGAGCCTGGCGAGATTCGAACCTGCAGTAATTGCAGGCAGCTGGTCTTAATAACAGGGTGCTTTAGACCACTGTACTACCAAGGCTCCTTGGTAGCTTCCTGGAAGAATTTTGGCTTCCTGTCCATTTGTGATGGAAAAACTGCAACAGGTGCAGCTTTAATAAAGATAAAAATAAATAACCCCCACCTCTACAATACTTGTATTTATAGGAAGTCCTTGACTTAAGGCCACAATGGAGCCTGCCCCTTGTAGTTGTACATTATCACGGTCATAAAGCAGGTCACCTATTTGACCAGCCTGATTTATGACCTTTTTTACAGAGGTCATTAAGCAAATCATCACAGTTGTTAAACTGTGTTTAAAATGCTATGGGGCATTTTGCCAAAAACTGGAATTAAATGCCAATTTTCAGCAGAAATGTAAATCGTGATTAAATCACTGCAGGATGCTGCAGTTGGCCCTAAATACAGGCCAAGCTCCTGAAATGTGGTCATGTGACCACAAAGGGTGGGGGGGAAGCATTGGAACTTTGGAACAAGTTCCTTTAAATGGGGAGGTTTGTCATAATTTCAAATGGTTGCTAAGATACCAATTGAGAACTATCTAGGAGCCTGGTGGAGCAGTGGACCAAAGCGCTGTTAAATAGCACTTAGCTGCTAGCTGCTTGCAATTACTGCAAGTTCAAATCTCACCAGGCTCAAGGTTGACTCAGCCTTCCATCCTTCCGAGGTGGGTAAAATGACCCGGATTGTGGGGGCAATAAGCTGACTTTATATAAAAAAGAACACCGCTGGGGCGGGACTGAAAGCCCTACTAAGCAGGTATATACAAAAGTATGAAGGCTATTGCTTAACGCATTGTAAGCCGCCCTGAGTCTCCGGAGAAGGGCGGCATATAAATCGAACCAATAAATAAATAAATAATAAATAAATACCTGTATTTGACGCCCACCTCCAATGTTACACCTCCCTTAAACTATTAAATATAGTTCCTAGCTATGGTTTCCCCACCTTGCTTAATTATTTTCAGATTTGCTCATTATCACTTTTATTCCTACAAGGAACCTTTCACAATCTGAGACCCTCAAGGGCAAGGGTGGGCAACTATGGCCCCTTCACAGCCTGTGGACTTCAACTCCCAGAATTGTTGGCTCAGGAATTCTGGGAGTTGAAGTCCACAAGTCGTAAAGAGGCCATAATTGTTCATTTCTGCTCAAGGGAGTGACAGGTTGATATAGGATGCTGTTAACAGTGTTTCCCCAAAAATAAGACCCTGTCTTATACTTTTTGAACCCTGAAATAAGCTCTTAGCCTTATTGTCATGCATTCAAAAGCCCGATTGGGTTTATTATCAGGGGATGTCTTATTTTGGGGGAAACAGGGTAGTAAATGAAAAAACAAGGTGGTTTTTTTCAACATGGGCCCATATTTTAGGAGGAAAAAAGAACAGTGGATTACAGGGCAAGGTACAAAAATACATGATAGCATCTTCCAGTGGTTGGAAACCACTTCCCTATATCTGCAACTGCGGAACTATTAAAATAAACTTCTGAAATTCGGGGAAGATCATGACTAATAGGCATGAGGAGCAATGCTGTTTGCAGAGCTGTTTCTAAAGAGAAACAGGTATGGATCACCACCTTCAAAAATGTGCTTGTTTTCAGAACTTTCTGAAAGTATGTGCCTTCAGTTTCAATGCGGGGTTCGGATCCAGCTTGGTTTTGCTGCAGAATTCTCCAACGTCATGATCATCTACACAAGAATCGTAACAAAGCCAACTGAAATAACCGTTTGCAACGCCTACGTCACTGATTTTCCTCTTGTAAGTTAGTCTCAGAAGATGGCACATTTATTGTTTGAAAGACCATATGTACAAAACAGAAATATCATGCTTTAAACATGAAACACAACTGGCGTGATATAAAGCGGGGGGGTCTCCAAACTTGGCAACTTTTAAGACTTGCAGACTTCAACTCCCAGAATTCCACAGCCAGCCATGCTGCGAAGTCTTAAAAGTTGACCCCTCATATAAAGGATGGAAATGGAGAAGGGGGGCTCAAAATCTAACCACCTCCTCATTTTCATTTTATTGTTTTAACTATCCACAGGAATTGGATGTGGATCCTAAAGAAGCAAATAAAGGAACTCCTGAGGAAACTGGCAGCTATTTGCTTTCAAAAGATTTGCCCAAACACTGCCTCTACACTAGAATAAGTTCACTACAGAAGCTAAAGGTAATTACTTGCAGGCAAATTTGGCTTGCTTTCTTATATTTCTACATTCCCTGAGTGGCAGCAATGCCATTCAATTACTGTTTAGACCTACTAAGGTTATCCTTGGCTTGCAACTTTAAAAGCAGTGTATGTATGTTGAAGGAGCAGCAGGGTGGCCTAGAGGTGAAGACGCTTGCCTCCCACTTGGAAGGTTGAGAGTTCAATCCTAGGCAGCGACAGATGTTTCTCTATCAGGGTGCAAAGTGAAAACATCTGCTGTGAACTCCGCATAGGTGTCAGGAAGGGCATCCAGCCAGTAAATGCTCAGCTCCATTCAGTCACCCCAACTCCACCCCAATAAAAGGGATTACAAGATCATAAAATGAAAAATAGCGGGTATTGAAGGTTACCAAATTGCAAATGTTTCAGGTTTCATTCCCTGGACGTGGGTCAGTGGTCTCTGGAAAAGTAAAACAAAGTGTATGGGGAAGTTGCTGGGAAAAGAAATAGTAGGAGATACTGGCTTCTGTAACAGGTCTTAAATATGCATAGGGCTGAGAAATGATTCGGAAATGAAGTATAATTACAGATAGTCCTCAATGTAGAACCATTCATTTAGCAACATTCAGTTACAATGGAACTTTAAAATATTATATATGATGGACTTTGCGCTGAAATTGTTGCAGTTCCCACAATCACATGATCATTATCCAGGCACTTGACAACCAACAGGTATTTACTATAGTTGTAGCGTCCTGGTTGGCTTTTTCAGCCTTCCCATCTAGCTTCCAACAAAGTCATTGGAGAAAGCTGGTTTCACTTAACAATTGTGGCAAAAGAAGTCATAAAATCAGGTGTGGTCATGTAATGACCCACTTAACGACCTCATTGCCTAGTGACAGAAGTTGTGCTTGCAGTTGGGGTCATAAGTCCAGGACTCCCTGTACTATTTTGAAAGAAGAAATTGCCCATTGAAACTGCGGTCTGACTTGACAGAAAAAAAGAATGTAATTTGATTTGCAAATCACCCTAATGGCTGGTGATCCAGCCCAACTTTCCTTGTATAAGATGAGACTACTGGAGTTTGTAATTCTGTACTCTGGAGGGGCTTCGTTTTGGAGAAAACTGATCTACCTTGAGTCACACTGGATGGGGCAAAATATATTTAGTTCTTGATTTGATTTTTTATGGAATGTCTACCTCTCAATGCAAATTAGTTCTGTTTAATTCCTTTGCCAATCAGGTTCAATATGTTCTCTAGTGGAGAGCAAGCCAGCATAAGACCATCATATCTATCTCTAATATCTATAACAGGGCTTTCCAAACCTGGCAACTTTAAGACTTGTGGACTTTTAACTCCCAGAGTTGAGGAATTCTGGGAGTCAAAGTCCACAAGTCTTAAAAGTTGCCAGGTTTTGAGACACCTGATCTAGCGTAACATGGTGATGACAGAACATTAGAAGTTAGTGTCAGGGTTCCAATTAATATACTCATAGCAAATAGAACTCTGAGGCAAGCAGTTTCCATTTGCAAGAACGTGTTTATTGGATGTATCACATTGGCACAAGCTGGTGAAAACCAACTCTAAAGGTTCCCACAGTTTTCACCTAATTAAAAGTTTTCCCCCTTTCCCCAAACAATCAGTCACATGGTCCAAGCAAGGTGCTGTCCGGTTGCTTGAAAACTTCACTCCTCCTCTCTTCAGCCACTTGTGGGAATGTCCTTGGTTCACAGGGGAAACTATTTTGTTTTGGCTGCAAAACCCCAGCTATCTCTATTCCCCTCTCCCTATCCCTCAGCACCCATGTGGCAGTACTAAAGCCTCCAAGATGACCTCGGTCAGGCTAGCTTCAGAGTTGAGTGTTAGATGGCTAGTATCCTTTTTTTTAAATGTTTCCATGTTGTGAATTTCATGATAGGAATACAGAGATCCTTTGATTGCAATCATTATATTCTGTTGGGTTGAATGTCTGGCAGTAAAAGGCTATCGACGTTAATGTATCTCTCTTTAAATCACAGGAAGATTTAACATTCACCGTTTGCCTGCATTATGAATACATGGGACTCGAGGACCCGGTGGATGAACGAAAGGCGGTTAACATTGGCAAACCGCTGGTTGCCAAATTGCGCATTCACCAAGGATTTGGAAAGTGCAGCTGCTTCCAGAGCTGTCCTTTGCCTAATGGCGCTACCTCCGCCCAGTCACTGGCCACAGAAGCATCTGGATTCTGCCCATCTCAGCTTAATCAGCCGCATTCTTACATAGGCTTTGTCCAATCAAGTCCTTCTCTTATAGAAAGCCTGAGGCAGTCGCCAAGATGCCACTGCAGGATGGTGCCAGACAGATTAATTGCATGGCAATCAAAGTGGTCACATTCATACGATTCAGACCTGAGCAATATTCCTGTGGAGACCACAGATGAACTCGAATCTGACTTCTCGGGAAGTTTAAAACTATCTCATGAGCCTTAGCCAGCTTCATTTTGTAGGCCGGAACTGCATTTTCAATGGCCTTGCCCTGGGATGAAATTCTGAGGCCCGGTGACATCTTGGTCTGGAGCCATGCGTTGGGCTTACAGTCCTTGGCTGAGGGAGAAAAAGAGTTAAAAATGTTTTCAGACAACCAGAAATAAAAGTTGCAACATCCCCAGATATTATCCCTCGTGAGGGGGAAGACGAAAAAGAATTTGGTAAAGGCAGACTAGGTTTCTGTGGGACATGACTTCCTAATAACTCAGCACGTTGATTGTCAGAATAAGCACAAACTAAGCAGAAGTCTTTAAAATACAGAAATTTTAATGCGCTGATTGAGAGGCCTACAGGAGTTATGATACCAGACTTCCACTTCACCAGGCAATGAGGAGAGGGAGAATAGCAGATAGCAATAGCACTTAGACTTATATACCGCTTTACAGTGCTTTACAGCCCTCTCTAAGCGGTTTTACAGAGTCAGCCTACTGCCCCCAACAATTTGGGTCCTCGTTTTACCCACCTCGGAAGGATGGAAGGCTGAGTCAACCTTGAGCCTGGTGAGATTCGAACTGCCAAATTGCAGGCAGCCAGCAGTCAGCAGAAGTAGCCTGCAATACTGCACTCTCACCATTGCGCCATGGCAGCTCTATAGTCCGGAAAATCAGGTGATCCCGATGGACAGAACAGGCATACGTGTAAGCAACGTTTTGGGAGGAAGAAGATAAACTGCCTGTTATGGAGTCTGAAAAGGAGCCATCACAGAATGATCTTTCAATCCAAAGAAGTGGATATTAAAGGAAGTTAAGGGATACTGAGCACCAACTTCCTTTGCTCTCAATTTACTGTTCAGTGTGCAGGCCACTGAGATGGTGGTGGCAGTTGAGTAAGAAAATCGGTAAGATAAGATCTGCCCCCTTCCTTCCTTTTTTCCACCTTTCCCAGCATTACAGCTTTCTTACGAGAACTAGGTCTTTGCATAATGTGTCTGAAGTGCGGTTAATTTGAACCTGGTCATTTCTGCCTTTGGTGAAAATTCTGAATTAGTTAGTTTGATGAGCCGTTTGTTTGCTTTCTCGGTTGGCCATAGTACTTCAAGGAATCTTCTCCAAAGTCTTTCCATGATTGGTCCAGATTTAGTTCTTCCAGTACCCCAAACAGCCAAAATATTCTAGGTTTTGTTTCTGCTGGATCCTGTCTGTCCTCAAATTGTTCATCGGAAATTCCAGAACAGATGGCATCTCCCAGGACCAAGCATATCTTCCAGATCATACTTATTGCTTAACGCATTGTAAGCCGCCCTGAGTCTCCGGAGAAGGGCGGCATATAAATCAAATAAAAAAAATAAATAAAAAAAACTTATTCTTAATTCTATTTCAGATATCAGGTCAACTTTAGTTATTTAAGCAGCTTCATCCATATCCCATTTACAGTATTTACTGATAATTATTGGCCTGTCCCCAAAATTAGGTTTGGAAATATCCAGTAAAGAAATGAATTCTTGTTCTGGCTTTTTCTTGTATTTGCTATTTTTCTTAACATTCTTAATTTAAGATATTCACCAAAATCCAAATATAACAGTTTTGAAGAATTCCTTGACTTGGGTTTTTATTTCCTCTTCATGCACACAATGCAGGGCACTTTATCTTTTCCAAGGCAACAGAATGTTGCAAAGAAATTGTGTAAAGGATTTTGAGATACTTTCTGCGTTATCCTTCTGTGCTTTTATCTGTTCAAAACCAGATTGGAAAGAGACGAAATTTTGTCTGGCAGGATAAACTAGCAAAATAAAGATCAAGGTAAAAATAAGTTGGATTTGGTTGTGGTTTGCAGAATGGAATCGGGGGGGGGTCCTCTTTTGCACCTTAATGGGAGAAGCAGATGCGGGAGCAGTTTGAAATGTTGCCAAGATCCAGAATGGAGCATATACACATGGAAGGAGTCACAAACACAACACTAGGGGAGAGCAGAAACACACAGAGGCAATACATGCATCTACATAGGTAAGACCCTCAAATGTATATGCTACACAAATAAAAAACCCTGAATAGACCCTCACCCACACACAGATGCTTAGGCAACACGTGCAGATATGCTGATTAGTCCAATCAGGGGATGCATAACAAAGTATCATAAGGGACGTCCAAATCAGTATTGGGCCATTTTGCCTAATTATGCCAATTTACAGGTACCTGCATAGGGACACGGTGGCTCAGTGGCTAAGACGCTGAGCTTGTCAATCGAAAGGTCGGCAGTTCAGCGGTTTGAATTCCTAGTGCTGTGTAATGGGGTGAGCTCCCATTACTTGTCCCAGCTTCTGCCAACCTAGCAGTTCTAAAACACGTAAAAAATGCAAGTAGAAAAATAGGGACCACCTTTGGTGGGAAGGTAACAACGTTCTGTGCACCTTTAGCATTTAATCATGCTGGCCATATGACCACAGAGACATCTTCGGACAGCGTTGGCTCTTTGGCTTTGAAATGGAGATGAGCACTGCCCCCTAGAGTCGGGAACAACTAGCACATATGCGCAAGGGAAACCTTTACCTTACAGGTACCTGCACAGGTTAACTGATTAGAGAATATTTTGATGATCAAAAATATATTTTTGCATATATTCTCAATTTTGTATCAGTAGCTCCTTTGAATAGACAGAGGAAGTAAATGAGTATATCCTACCGTAGCCATCTAAGTAATTTTTGCATGTGGCAAACTTCCAAATCTCTTCACTCTGACCATTTAATCATTTTTATTCCCATCAAACGTGGGATGCTGGGAACAGATAGGACAGCATGAATCATTCAGGGCTCTCCCAGCCAACTCCAGTCAATTCAGTGCCCTCCTCATTTAAGCTACAGCAGCATCTGAAGTAACCCATTTGCTTGGCCCTCAGTATGGTTAAGCACACAGGCTACCCCAACAATGACCAAGTCTAAACTTGAAGAGCTCTTTGAGATTACTTCTTCTCAAAGTCCTGTTGTCATCATTACGAGTAATGAACTCAAGGAATCAGGACTCTGACACTTTTTGCAGTTTCAAGAGATTCTTTATTGAGTATATCATATCGGCACTTAGAAAGGTGAAGCTAGTGCTAAATTATTCCCGCACCTAGGGATAGTTAAAAGAATAAGATCTCCCACCATTTGTGGATTTTAGTCCAATATCTTTTAGCTTCTGCGCATGTCCACCACATATGGTAATATGAGCCCGGAGTCTAATGACACTTCCAACATTTCTCCGATTTATTCTTGTACATTCTGGCTATTCTCGCCGGGGGTAAATGCCACCTGTAAAACATCTTATACAAATTTTCCTTATATGCTGTTGACTTTGACTTTAAACCAGAGATATTTTTATTAGGGATTTTACCAGAAATATACAATAGAGAAATGAGATATTTAATTGTGAATGTTTTAACGGCAGCTAGAATTGTATTTGCTAAAACCTGGAAAGGAGAGAAGATACCCACGGATGATGACGTTATCAAGAAAATTTTGGAGTGTGCTGAAATGAGTAAATTGACATTTGAAATTAGGGAACAAGAAGATAAACAATATTATTTGATATGGGATTTATTTTATCAATGGTTAGACAAGAAAGAATGGAAATGACATATGAAATATGAAATGGATAAGATAATAAAACATAAAGGGTTTTTTTTCCCCTTATGGAGGATAATTTATTGTTAAATAATTGGTAAATGAGAATAATAATGTAATAAACTGTTAAATAAGAAAATGTTGGATAGAGGATTAAGCACAAAAGATTTTTAACCGATCAATATGCTTTCTGTAATTGTAATGGATGATAATTGTTTTATGTTTTAAGCTTTGTTTAAAAATAAAAAAAAAATTCCAAAAAAAAAGAAAAAAGAATAAGACCTCCCCACCCCCCCTTTGTCCCTCAGGTCACATGGGCCAATCAGTCTAGGCATAGGTTCCTGCTCAACTTCAACAAATGTCTGTTAAAATGTCCTTGGTTCACAGGCCATCTGGGAGATGTTATGACTAGCCGACTGAGGCACCACATTCCTGAATCCCCCCTCCTCAATGCTCTCCCCCTTGAATGGCAACCAAGAAACGAAGCAGAAGTACATGACAAACTACTTCTAAAACTAAAATCCTATGGCATCTCCAGACCCCTACATAATTGGATAGCTGCGTTCCTGTCAAAAAGACAACAAGTGGTCAAAATAGGGAGCGCCCTATCAAATCCTGCACCTGTTAATAGCGGTGTCCCCAAAGGCAGTGTTCTAGGACCAACACTCTTCATACTATACATAAATGACCTCTGCGATCATATTATAAGCAACTGCATTCTCTTTGCCGATGATGTAAAACTATTTAACACCACCGATAATGCTGCTACCTTTCAAAAAGACCTTGACTTTGTGTCGGAATGGTCAAACAATTGGCAACCACAAATCTCAACCTAACACATGCTCTGTCTTATGTATTGGCAAAAAGAATCAGAACACAAAATACAAGGTGAGTGGACACGACCTTGTAGATGACCCTCACTCTGTCAAGGACCTTGGAGTACTCATATCTAATGATCTAAATGCCAAAGCCCACTGTAACAACATCGCCAAAAAGGCATTAAGAATTGTAAACCTAATCTTGCGTAGCTTCGTCTCCAGTAATATTACATTACTAACCAGAGCATACAAAACATTTGCTAGACCAATTCTTGAATACAGCTCATCTGTACCTGGAACCCGCACTGCATATCGGACATTAATACAATTGAGTGTGTCCAGAAATATTTCACAAGAAGAGTCCTCCACTTCTCTGCTCGCAACGAAATATCTTATGCCACCAGACTTGAAATTCTCGGCTTAGAAAACTTAGAACTATGCCGCGTTCGATATGACGTAAGCGTAGCTCATAAAATCATCTGCTACAATGTCCTATCTGTCAGTGACTACTTCAGCTTCAACCACAACAATACACGAGCACACAATAGATACAAACTTAAAGTGGACCGCTCCAAACTCAATTGCAGAAAATATGACTTCAGCAACAAAGTGGTCAATGCCTGGAATGCACTATCTGACTCTGTGGTTTCATCCCAAAACCCCCAAAATTTTAACCTAAGACTGTCTACTGTTGACCTCACCCCATTCCTAAGAGGTCTGTAAGGGGCGTGCATAAGAGCACCAGCGTGCCTGCTGTCCCTGTCCTAATGTTCCCTTTATTTGTATTCATTTTATGTATTCGATTCCGGCTTATACTTATATATATTATCTAATATGACTTGACAAAATAAATAAATAAAATAAAAATAAATAAAAAATAAGCATGACTTCAGCTAAAGTCGTTTTGCAGGTTGACACCTGTTGCATTAGACTCTACATTACAGTTACCAACATTACTAGTTGGTATGTTGTCTGTGCTACCTGGTTATTATGGGGATTGTAATACTACCGTAATGGAAGTTATCAGTTTAGGAACATATTCCAGTCATTTATTACTGCTCCATTTTTTAATGTGCATAATTCCTTGATCTTTGAAATATAATCCTTGTGATAATCTTTGTCATGCTCTCTGTGGAGCTGTAATGAGTAGAAAAATTCTGCAAAATTTATAACAAAGCTCAGCTTCAGTCCATAAGGCCATCTGCAGAGCCTTATCATCAGGCCAATGTCCTCTGGTGCAGTATTTTGTCACAGAGGAGCCAATTAGATGCATTCAGAAGCTCATAGCCACGGGCAGACCAAAACACTCATGGTCATTTATCTGAAGCAGAGATTGTGACAGAACAACTGAATTGCCAGCATCTGGCATTCTTCATATGAATTTGGCATACAATTGCCACCAACCTAATGTGTTTATTTATTAGATTTATGTAGCTACCCATTTCACATATGGAACTGAGTGGCATACACAATTAATATAACAAAAAAACAAAACCATTAAAAACAAAATCATTAAAACATAGTTAAAACAGTTAAAAGTATAATAAAAACAAAAACACAGGAAAGTGTATTTCAAAACCTATAGATAGGATGTCCGTTTTGCAGGCTCCAGATTCCATGGGATCCCCAGGCCAGGCCCCAATGACAAAACCAAGTTTTGAGGGCCTTCAAGATCAGTGGAGTTGGGGCCAATCTCCCTTTGGAGGGATGAAGTTCCAAAGACCATGTGCCAAGTAGAAAAGGCTCTCCTCCTGGGTCCTGCTAGACCAAGGACCCCCTCCTGCTGGGCCTCATTGGATATAATGGGAAGTAGATATAACTGAGGAGAAGCAGTCCCTGACATAACCTGGCCCTATGTAGCACTTTAATGGTCATAACCAGCACCAATAATTAATCCTGGAACCAGACTGGCGACCAGCGCAACTGTTGTGACGTAGGCCCAAGTAGTTATTACCAGACACAATCAGTCCTAAACAAACATATTTTATTAGAACAGCTGAGAATTACTTCATTCTCAGCTTAGTCCAAATTAATTCCAAAACAAGTCCTTCAGAAAAAGTCCTTTGGCCTTATCACAAACCTCTCTTCTTTGGCACCCTGCCAAAGGCTTTTCTTGGCAAATCCCCAGGAAATTCAGAAACAAGAGAGGATGACACACGCACACAAACAGTCAGC